GGAAGATGGGGCTTAAGATCCATCCATTGAGCAGGGACTGAGAATTTAAGCTGGAACTAGAACTCTCTGTCTCCTGGTGATTGGCCCAAAGCCACCCAGCCGGCTTTCATGCCTAAATCGGGACTAGAATTCTCCATCTCCTGGTGATTGGCCCAAAGTCATCCAGCTGGCTTTCATGCCTATAGTAGGACTAGAATTCTCCATCTCCTGGTGATTAGCCCGAAGCCACCCAGCTGGCTTTCATGCCTAAGGCGGGACTAGAATTCCCTACTTCCTGGTGATTAGCCCAAACTCACCCAGCCGGCTTTCATGCCTAAGTCGGGACTAGAACTCCCCGTCTCCTGGTAATTAGCCCAAAGCCACCCAGCTGGGTTTCATGCCTAAGGTGGGACTAGAATTCCCCATCTCCTGGTGATTGGCCCAAAGTCACCCAGCCGGCTTTCATGCCTAAGGTGGGACTAGAACTCCTGTCTCCTGGTTTCTGGATGTCCTTTCTGGACCTCCTGTTCTCAAAGAACTCTTTATTCTGTCTCCAAGCAGGCAGCTGATGCCACCACCGGCGTTGCCAGTGATGGGGATGAAGCCGGAGCCTGACGACCGAAACGGGTCCTTGGGGGGCAGCAACGGTGAGCGTGTGCAGCCGAGAGGCCCGGCTTGCGTTGGTTTTCCTGCCTCCTTTGCGTTGATGCTGCTTGCCGGCCTGCTGCGGCTGGCATCAACCTCTGGGCCTTAAGCCTAGAAGCGCCTCTAGCTTCTCTTTGCCCGTTCGGTTGAGTTCCCCTTAAATCCAGAGCGGACGTGTCCCTGTGTGTGTGTGTGTGTGTGTGTGTGTGTCTTGTGTGTCTTGTGTTTTTACCCTCTTTCAAGATCAGCAGCCCCGAGGCATCCACACCCGTACACACAACGATTTCTCAGTCCTGTGTAGGAGTTCTGTCTCCTTACACCTCTGCAAAACATCGCCGAACCGAGATCAAATCTTTCCCCTTCCCCATTCTCCTCTCCTTGCCCCATCTTTTCACACCCCATTCAGACACACACACACACACGCACACACACGATCCTAGGGTCCTCAAGACACTATTCACTTTTTCCCAGGAAGCTGTGCAGTCACACACACACACACCCCTTAGGCAGAACTAGGAGGCCCACCTGCACCCGGAAGGCGGCGATCTGCCTACAGACAGTCCTCGACTTACAACAGTTTCGCTTAGTGACTTTTCGAAGTTAGAACAGCACTGAAACAAGGAACCTATCGCCCCTTTTCACAATGAACGACCGTTGCCGCCTCCCCACGGTCACGTGATCCAAATTCCGAACCAACGACTCCTGTTTAACGACGGCGGCAGTGTCCCTTTTTGGGACGAACAAAGTCAAAGGGGGAAGCCGTTGACTCAACCGCCGCGTTACCTGCTTAACAGCTGCAGCGTGGCAAGGAAAGTCGTAAAATGGGTAGCATTTCACTTAAATGTCTAATTTAAAAAAAAAAAACCGCAACAGGCCAGAAATTAAAAAGAAAAAGCGTCCTGGGGGGGGAAAAATCTACAGCTAATTTAGTTGAAGGCTGAATAAATATAACACGACAATATTAATTTCCCAGCCCTTAAAAAAACAGGCCAACGTTTTTTATTTTATTTTTAAAACAAAACTACCCCACCTCTCAATCCGTTTAAAAAAAATGTTAGCTTGTCATCTTTTGGAAAACAATTTGGGCAAAGAAGGCTAGCTGGTTTCTTCCTTTTGACATATATTCTTTGAAACGGAGAGCTCACCAACGCCTGACCTTGCTAACTCTACCTTTTTTTTTTCTTCTTCTTTTTTGTGTCTTTCTCTTTCTCTCTCTCTCTCTCTCTCTCTCTGTTCTCTTACATGGTACTGCCGGATCATAACACACCGTTGGCGGGACCCTGTGTCGTTCGACCACCGCTGACCTGCGGGTGACTGTTGATTCGGGGGCCTTCGGAACGGTGTCCGACTAACGTTTTTTTTTGAAATTAACTCATTTGGGGGAAAATTGTTTGATCTTTCTCTTCCCCCCCCTTTTTTTTTCCCTACCCGGCCCTTGTTTGGGGATGGGGTGGTGGCTGGGGGCTGTTTTTTTTTTTTCCCCCTTCTCTTTCGTCTCTTAGATCACCCTGCCAAGAAGATGAAAAGCGGAGAAAAGGAACTGGGGCTGGTGGCCTACACCGGCGACTCGTCGGACGAAGAGGAAGACCACGGGAGTCTTAAAAATGCAAGTAGCTACTCGCAGACGTGGAGACTAGGATACCAGTATCCGTCTTCGCAGCAGCGGGCGAAGCAGCAAATGCCGTTTTGGATGGCCCCTTAAAACTCTTCCTTCCCTCTCTGTCCTCCGTCTTCAAGCAATAAACAACAACAACAACGCATGTATTCGATCAAACACAGTACGTGCAAACCCGGAAGCTCGTGTCCCCCCCTTGCTCTCTGCACACGTTTTTGAGATGCAGTACGCCTCTTTTTTTTGTGTGGCTGGGCTGTTTTCCTCGCCTCCTCCTCCTCCTCCTCCAATGACGAACGTTGGGAGCGACTCATGGGAAAAAAAACCCCAACGGCTTCTTTGGCAACACAACGGCCGATCTCCGTGGTTTTTGTGTGATAACTTTGCAAGGAGCGTCCTTCGCTTTGCGTTTCCTCCCGGATCTTCTCCACAGCTTTTTTTTTTTTGTGTGTGTGTGTGGGGGGGAGGCTTTGGAAGAAGCGCCGGCCAGCCAGCTTGCCCCACTTCACCAGCTGCCGTTCCGTGTTTGTTTCTCGCTGGGAAGTGAAGAATTTTTTTTTTCCCCCTTCCCAGGAGTGCGTGATGCTTCCCGCCTTCTGGAATTGGAGAGGAAAACCTTTTAACGGATTGTTTTCGACTCTTAGGATCCCTTCTCAGAAGGGATTTAAAAACCATTTTCACCATTAGAAAATGCAGCTTTTGTAGTTGGATCCGGCTGGAATTCTTTTTTGTTTTTTTTGTTTTTTGTTTTTCGCCTGGCTGATAAACCTGTAATTTTCTGGGCCTTCCTCCATTTGGGCAAGGAATGAACACACTGGGGGGGGGGGTTGGGTGGGCTGGGAGGGGGGAGTCAGGCAAGCCAACTGTAGAATTGTCCCGTGGTTTTTTTTATCCCAGCTTCTTCCACCAGCGTGGAGTTAATTTTTAGCACGGTAACCATCTCCTTTCTGTTCCAAATTGCAGCTGGTAACCAGATTTCGTTTTATGGTGGTTCCCCCCTGCTTTTTTTTTATTATTTTTAATAGAAATACATTTTCTGAAATTGGTAGAACGTGGTCCTATCTGAAGAGAGGATTCTTAGGATTGTTTTTCTAGTGGTTCGGAACTAACTGGCTTCCACTGGACATATTGGTCTGTTACCCGGCAAATGTGGGGTTTGTTTGTGTTTTTTTTGGTTTTATTTTGCACGATGAAATGCACACACAGCCTTTAGAGTGGGGGGGGAACGCAGAGCCCGCTCCCCTTTTGCTGTGTGTTCAACCCACAAAAGCATATTTAAAGAAATTGGATCAAGTTGTCAGATGGATCTCTTCTGACAGGTTTGCTTCGCCCCCCGAAGCAGCCCACCTACCCCCAAACCTCACTCTGTTCTCTGATTTTCTACATGTTGTAAATAAATTGAGCCATAATTTCGCGATAAATGTACAAATGTTCTACTTCCTTTCTTGTCCGTTTTTCTTTGGAGGTGGTCTGGTGAACGCGACTCAAATGTTCCTAGCCAAGTGCAAGCATCTGTTTACTGAATCATAGTTTGTTTTGGGTAAAAAAATTCATGTATTTGGCTTTTTCGGGGGGGGGGGGAGGGAGGTTGGTTGCGCAACCTGGAAGGATGCTGTCCTAGGTTTGTGTTAATTTGTGTGTTTGCTAAACTCAGCAACTTTTAAGACGTGTGGGGCTTCCACTGCCAGAATTCCCCAGCCAGCATGTGTTGATTTTAAATCCCAGAATTCTCCAGCCAGCATGTGTTGACTTTAAATCCCAGAATTCCCCAGTTTGTGGGGATTCTGACTCCCAGAATTCCCTGCTCATCATGTATGGACTTCAGCTCCCAGAATTCCCCCCCCCCCTAGATTCTAGCTCCTACCATTCCTGAGCAAGTTTGTGCAGACTCCAGCCCCCAGAATTCCCCAGCCAGAATAGGTGCACTTCAACTCCCATGCTGGCTGGGGATTTCTGGGAACTGAAGTCGGCCCTTAAGGTTGCTGAAGTTAAAGAGATCCTGGTGTAAAGATCCTTTAATGGGATCCCAAAATCCTAATCCAGATATTTGATGTCCCCCTTTCACCGGTGTCTTAGCCATGCAGATGTTTGCAGCTGTGCCCAAGAGAAGCTAGTCTGGCTGGAAGGGTGCAACGCGCTAAGCCAAAACCCAACCATGTTTGCAGGGCATCAACTGATCCACTTTGAGCCTTGCAAGGGCAGGATCTGGATGGAATCCACCACTAGGTGGGAGCCCATTGATGGTGGCACCAGCCATCCTGAATTGAAATCTGCTTCTCCACATACACGGGGTCAAGAGCCTTGCTTTTTAATATCAGCAAACTGCGATTATAATGAAAAAGTGGAAATGGGTTTTTCCCCCCCCCCATTTTCCGACCTTTAGCGGCAGAAGGACACAGGGAAGTGGGGCTTTTGTTGCAACCCGGACGTCTCGTATACAACCGAAAGCCCCCATCGCTTGAGACCTTCGAGTGGCCTCGCTCTTTTCTTCGTCCCGTTCAGCAGACGAGCACACAAACACACACCTTTCCACTCAGGTGCGATGCAGCTGTATTCCGTGAGTATAACACACAGCGCTCCGCAATCCAGTCGGGGCAAAACCGTCTCCTTTCCACGCACGGCCCCTTCCCTCGAGAACCGGAATTGTAAGGCTCTCACACCGTAATGGCTTTTCGAGCGGGGTTGCGCGCGCAAGCGTCCTTGCGAAAGACGCGGCGGCGGCGTGAAACGGAAGGGGCGTGACGTGTGGGTGGGGCGTGGCTAGCACCGTCGGCGCCGCCGCCATTTTGTCCGCCTCAGCGGGCGGGAAGAAGATGAGGCGGAGTGTCGCGCTCCGTCCCGTGAGGCAAATTCAGGGCCATTGACGGCCTAGAGGGGCCCGGGAGGCCTCTCCAGGCGGGATGGAGCCCTCCGGGCCGCGGGGCCCGGCGGGACTCGTCTCGGGCCCGCCCGGGGGGCAGCCCCGGGAGTACAAGCTGGTGATGTTGGGCGCCGGCGGGGTCGGGAAGAGCGGTACGTGAGGCGGAGAAGGGCTGGGTTAGGCCTGGAAGGCTTCGCGCCCGCGGAACTCCCTGTCACTAGAAGCCCCCAAACCCCTCTGGTAGAGAGTTTGCCGCTCCTGAAGGTCTTAGGGGGGCATTTAAGCCCCCTCCTCGCTTTCCTGGCCTTCAGAAAGAGGGCAAGAGGTGGGGAAGGGCCGGGCCTTGAGGGCTTAGTACCCGCGGAACTCCCTGCCACTAGAAGCCCCACAGGCCCTCCGGGAGGGGCTTTGCCGCTCCTGGGGGGCCATTAATCCTCCTCCCCACTTTCCTGGCTTTCAGAAAGAGAGCAAGAGGCGGGGAAGGACTGGACTGGACTGGACCTTGAGGGCTAATGCCCATGGAACTTCCTGCCACTAGAAGCCCCAAAGCTCCTCTGGGAGGGAGTTGCAGCTCCTGAAGGGCTTAGGGGGGCATTTAAGCCCCCTCCCAACTTTCCTGGCCTTCAGAAACAATGCAAAGGCCTGGCCATGGCAACCTTTTAAATCTTGCTTTTAATTTTCTTCCTATTTATGCCATGATAGTCTTTTGTTTTGAGGCACACTGGAGTCACTCATAGGAGATGGGTGGTGTAGGAATGTGATGAATGTATAAATCGTGATAGAGCAAAGACTGGGATGGTTTAACCATGATTTATTGCATAAAGGCAGAATGGCATACATACACACGCACGCATATCTATCTATCCACAGCCATGCAATTCATCATATACATACGTACACATACATAATGTACATATGGGTGTGTATATGTGTTTGTATATACTGTAGTGTGTACACACACACACACACACACACGTAAGTTTTTGGCTAAAAAGGTTTACCTTGATAAAAGGGGAAATATTGACTGAAACCCTGTATTTATTCCTGAGAAGGTTTTCGTGATAACTCTTCGATTTACAGCTAGAAGACCTGCAATTGTTGTTTTGGGTGAAACCATGTGTTTACTCTCAAAACATACTGGTAACTTTTTATTATAATTGTATTTATTTATAGCCAGAAGCCCTGCAATGGTTATTTTGAGTGAAACTACATGTTTATTCTTGAAACTGACATATTGGGAGCTTTTGATTATAATTGTACTTATTTATAGCCAGGAGACCTGTAATCGTGCTTTTGGGCTGTGTTTATCCCAAGATTGATGTGCAGGAAGCTTTTTCATGATTGTTTTTATTTACAGCCCGAAGATCTATGTACTTGTTATTTGGGGCCGAAACCATGTATTTCTTCCTAAGATTGGCACAGCAGAAGCTTTTTATGAGAATTGTGTTTATTTAGAGCTGGTCTCAGAGCAGTCTCCATTTTCACTATCCTTGGTCAGGTTAACCTGTTTGTTTCCTCCTTACAGCCATGACTATGCAGTTCATCAGTCATCGTTTCCCGGAAGACCACGATCCCACTATCGGTGAGTGGGTCTGGCTGCTGCTTTACTCTCTTTCGTTATGAGGGCTTGTCGAACTGGATTTGGCGGGAGTTGCAGCCTGTCTCAAATCTTCCTGTAAATATGTTGGATTTCTGTATATTGATTTGATAGACGGCTTATCTAGTCAACTAACAGGCTGGCACCAAAATAGATAAGAGTTAAGAGAATTCAAGAGGGAGTGGACTTGGGACCACTTGTAGGCACGTAAGGATTAGGCTGAGTCCTCTCTTGATTCCGCCCCCAGCTCTGCCTCTTGTCAAATACAGCCTACTCTAACCATATCCCTTCATTTATGAAATAAAAATGACACAGCAACAGTTAACAATAAAAAAATGCCCCTTTAAAATATACCCGTTCTCCCCCTCCCCCAATTGAATCTGTTGCTGATCCAGGCAGCAAAAGCCTTCCTGTCGATGCGTTCAGGAAAATCATATTTGCACAATGCTCTGAACACCTGTTTCCCCCCCCAATGCTGAATGTTAACACCTATATGTATTATAGGAAAAAATCGAAGGCCCCACCATTTGACCTTTTAATAATAATAAAGTTGGAAGGGGTCCTGGAGGTCATCTAGTCCAACCCTGTGCCATTTCAGACAGTCCAGTCTCTTCTCTTTTCTGACTTGTGTTTCTCCCTATAGAGGACGCTTACAAAATGCGGATCCGGATTGACGACGAACCTGCTAATCTGGATATTTTGGACACTGCAGGCCAGGTATTTCACAACTATGTAGCCTTTCCTGTTTTGCTTCCCCTCTCTTTCCCCCACGGGTGTTAGTGATTTCTAAACAGCCCTCCAAGGTGGCTGCATGTCATAGTTTGCATGCTTTGCATGGACAACTGAAAATAACCACCTAGTGAATTTCATACTCCATACTTCGGTTCCATGCTTGTTACTTACTAACCGTCGTTACACGGTGCTTTTTCACTTACCAAAATAGCCCTCCAGAATATGCTGGAAGCCCAGCTGTTTCCTGCACCTGGCCAGCCTCAAAAAAACCTTGCAGGAAGAAGCCACCCAAAACAAAACAAAACATACTTTTCCTTCCGGCAGGCCGAATTCACCGCTATGAGAGACCAGTACATGCGGGCTGGTGAGGGGTTTATCATCTGCTACTCGATCACGGATCGCCGGAGTTTTCACGAAGTCCGGGAGTTTAAGCAGCTCATCTACCGCGTCCGGCGCACGGACGAGACTCCGGTGGTCCTGGTGGGCAACAAGTCTGACCTCACTCAACTCAGGCAGGTAAAAAAGGCTCGAACCGCAGACTCGTGTTTGACCGGGGGTCCTCGACTAAACGACCAGAACAGAGCCCAAAATTTCTGTTAAAAGTGAATTTCGCCCTGTTTTTACCACCTTTCCGGCCGCAGTTGTGAATCCACCGCAGTTCTTAAATTAGCCACACGGTTGTTGAGTGAATCTGTGTAAAAGGGGGTCACACAACTGCAACTGTCATAAATACGACTCGGTTGCTAAGCGCCTTGAGTTTGGATCACGGGAACACTGCAACAGCCGTAAGCGTGAAAAGCGGTCCTAAGTCACTTTGTCCCCGTTGCCGTTGTAACTTCGGTCGCTAAATAAAATGGTTGTAAAGCGAGGACTGCCCTTGTTTTGTTCCCCCGCCTCATTATCGCGTGCGCTTTCTTGCCCAAAGGTCTCCAAGGACGAAGGCTGTTCGTTGGCCCAGGAGTTCGGCTGCCCTTTTTTCGAAACCTCCGCCGCCTTTCGCTACTACATCGACGACGTATTTCACACCCTGGTCCGGGAAATCCGACGGAAGGAGAAGGAGAGTGTCATGGCTCTGGAGAAGAAGTCCAAGCCGCGTCCGAGTGTTTGGAAAGCCTTGAAATCGCCCTTCCGGAAGAAGAAAAATTCCGTAACCTGAATTCTCCCCCCCACCCCAAAAAAGGCCTCCCTTAAGCAGAGGAGCGATCCGCTCTGCAGAGAGAGAGAGGCAAAACAGCCCGGCAGCTTTTTGACTCTTTGTTTCTTCTGAGTGTGTAAATCTGAACTCCTGACCCGTGCAAAAAACCTTCAAAGGCCGCTCTTCCACCAAACCCTTTTCCTTGGGCGGGTCTGCTCGCCGTTTCTGCCCGTCCAGCCCGAGCAGGCTGGCCAAACAAGGAAGCAATCGACCTAGAAACGGACAAACCATCTTTGCAAACAAGCCACCTCGGCTTTGCTCGGTGGCTGTGCCCGATTCGGTCTCGGCTTGGCGTTTCGGCCGCGATTTGGAGGAATCTTGGCTTTTGATGTGGGTTAGGGTGACCCTCTTTAGAAGCAGTCCAACTCCTTAATCTTGTGGGGCGAGGCGAAGGGGGCAGACGGACGTACTGTAAACCAGGTTTTTGATTTCTCGCTCGGTGTATGGGATCCAAACGGGCCTGGCGTTGTGAGGAAGAATTGCACAGCTTCCACAGCTTGTGCAGTCTTTCCTGTCGAAATTTTGCTTTAGCATCTGTTTCTCATGCCGCCTCTTTCCCGCGCTCGTGCCCGGGTCTGCAAAGATGGGATTCCCTTGCAAAGTGGGAACTGTCTGCAGTTTATGTCACTTGAACAGAAGAACAGAGTGGGAAGGGAGCTTGGAGGCCTTCTAGTCCAGCCCTCAGAAAACAGAAAAGTGTTTTTTTTCTTTTTGTCAGATTCTATCACTTTGGCATGAACAAGGGAGACCGAAGGATCAGGGTCGTGCTCTGGTAAATGGCAGCAAGGGATGCTGAGGGGCAGTAAGGGGATGTGATTAATTGGAGGCGTAAAGTTGTAGCAGGTGTAATTGGACGTGTAAAGTTGGCGTAGGGCAAGTTGTGTTCAGCCGGAGAAATGAGAGAGCTGGTAAACCCCACGTTGGGAGAATGGAAAGGTGTTGAATTTGCTTGTGTCAAGATTTGTAGCATCACTCACAAGGCGTGTTGTGTTGGTAGCAGAGTCTTGAAAGATTTTGGCCATGCTGAGCCAAGGGGCCCAGCAGCACTCAGCCTGCTTTTATGGAAGAGTTTGGAGCAGGTTCCCCCCTTCCCCCCGGGGTGCTGTGTGGATGGACCCCAAAATGGAGCCCACAGAAAGGAATAGGGAGGTTTTGATAGGCGTGCAGGTGGTATGAGAGGGAGGCTGCCCTGGAAATGAAAAAAGGCTGAGTCGGGGTCGGAGAATTGTGTGTCTCGGAAGTCTTGAAATCCCCCCCCCCAAGTGGGGCAATTTTTATAGAGTGTTGTAAGTGTTGTGTGTGGTTTACACAGAGTCGGGAAATGTCACAGCCCCTTGCCAAATTTCTCCTGTTTAAAAAAAAATGGCAGAAAATAATGGATCTTTTTACTTTCCCAAGAGATTGAATAAGCCTTAGATATTTCTTCTAGGTGAATTTGTATTGCTTTTGGATTTTCAAATGTTACCGATTATCGTGTTTGATATATGTATGTATTTATAGACTCTTATGGAGAAATTGGGTAGTTGGGGAAGAGGAAAACGACATTCCATTTAGCGAGAGTTATTTTGAATGTATTTTATTGACTGTAGCAATATACGGTATATTTAAAATTAGTAAATTAATGTTACGAACAATGCTGGATACTTTCCATAGCTATTAATTTAGGAGCAGATTAAATCTAATTTTAATTTTTATACCATCGCATACCTGTATAATGTAGATATGTTCAAGTTTTTTTTAAGAGACTACATGTAGTTCAACGTAAATAACGTCACTAACATTTGTGACCGAAGGAGTCACAATCTCAGTTCTCTTTTCATTGTCAAGTTCTCATTCCGGAAAAAAATGACTTGAAGCAAGAATGAATTGTAGCAGATCCAAAGCCTGCTTTTTAAGCCAAACTTTTTTTTTAAAGCAACTTTCTTAATTTGTGCCTTAGCAGAATTCAATATTTTGTGGTGCTAATGGTGAAATCTTTTTTTTTTTTCCTAGCATGATTACATCTTACTATTAAGCACTTTCTTTGGACACAATTCCTATCTTTTATGGTTCACGTATATATTGCACTTGATACAATAAATATTTTTTTAAGCCTTAGCTTCTGTTTCTTTCACTTGAAAGTTGGCGATAAACCCGTGTGTTAGCACTAGGTGTGACAAGAGAGTGGAATAAGGATTGTGAGTTGCCATCCTGCAAATGCGCACGGCAACAAGTTTAAAATTAAAACTCAAGAATTAACCATCCATTCGCCCCAAGAAATTCTATAGTCCTTTAATAGATCTCTGGACGGTGTTTTTATAATTTCTGAGTCAGCTCTACAGATAGTCCTTGACTTACAACCACAATTTCTGTTGCTAAGTGAGACCTTAGTTAAGAAAGTTTTGCCCCATTTTGCGACTTTCCTTAAGTTAGTTAACACGGTTGTTAAGAGAATCTGGATTTCCCATTGATTTGGCTTGTCAGAGGGTGGCAAAAGAGGATTATGTGACTCCGGGACACTGGAAACAATCCTAAGTACATGTCAGTTGCCAAGTGTATGGATTTTGATGACAACCATGGGGAACCTACAACAGTCATGTGAAAAAAGGACATAAGTTACTTTTTCCAGCACCGTTGTAACTTCAAACAGTCACTAAATGAATTATTGTTAAGGCAAGACTAACTGTACTCTTTGGTGAATCATCTTGTGCATCAGAGGATCATTGTTGGGATAAATTGGGGGTCTTCCAAGTTGGCCCTTTGATGACTTGTGGACTTCAACTCCCAGAATTCCTCAGCCACTTTGGCTGAGGAATTCTGAGAGTTGAAGTCCACAAGTCATCAAAGGGCCAACTTGGAAGACCCCTGGGATAAATCAAGTATTCCTAGCTGTTCTGGTCCATAGATCTATCGAAACTCTTGAAAAGTAATTCTATTTCAATCTTAAAAATTCTAAATTCTCTGCCAGTTATTTTTTTCTTGGTAGTTTAGCTATTCAGAAGAACCTCACAAAGCATGCATCAGCTGTAAGAATCTTTTTTTAATTAAAAAGCTGTTTAAATCAAACAAGGGCATGCTTTTTTGGCCATTACAGTGCCCAACACCAGGTCCAGGAAGCACAATTTAAAAGTGTGTGTGTGTGTGTGTGTGTGTATATACACTGTAATCCTGCTACAAATAGTTTGCAAGCCCATTGCTAATATTCAGTGCCAAGTAGATCAGAGGCGCCCCATGGCCGTTGTATTTTCCTTACAGGCTATCTGGCAGTCGTGATATTAAATTTCCTCAACGACTAAAAACGCAGCTTGGAGGCTTGTTTTGGAAGGAGGAGGAGAAGAAAGGAAATTCACATCTCTTCTGGGAGTTCGGTGTCACAGAGCAGCGGAAGGATGAGGTAATGGCTTTGTAGCGAGGCTGCGCGCCCGGGCGTACACATACACACAATGGGGTGGGGGACGCAGGATTGTCGAAGCTGCACAAGGCCACTTGGTGGCACAGCCGGGAGGCGAGCTGCAAGCAGACCGATGGCTTGGCAGCTTTCAAATTGGCAAGTTTTAGCAGACAGTGGGAAAACTAATAGCCACAACCAGCTTGATCCCCATTTTAGCTTTAACAAAGACAAGCCCCTCCCCCTCCAGTCGCTCTATTATCTTCCCTTTAACAATAAAAAGAGATTTCATTTTTTTTTTTTCAGAAGCAAAGAAGCTTCTGAATTGTTGATTTTGCCCAATTGCAAAACTCCGCCGCAAAACCCTCCTGGCACGTTTTTGGAACTGCTGAGAAATCAACGATGCAAATCCGATCGATCAATAAAGTGACTCTATTTTTTTTTTTTATTTGAATGTCTGGGTGTGCATTAAAACAATGTTGACGTTACAGATTAGCATTACATATTATGTTGGTTAGGTCAGTCTAACAGCATTATGCGGTTATACATGGCTTGACTTTATTATTTTTTTCCTTGTTTTTTTTTTCCTTTTGACATAAAAGTTGTAACTTCGTTTTTAGCTCCGTTTTAATTTTTATTTTATTTTTTTACAGCAGACACAAGGTGGAAAGAAAAGAAGGGGAAGAGGAACTGGATGGCAACCGAAAGAAAAAAAAAAGTTGATTTCACATCTGGGAAATGTTATGGTAAAGCAGCTTTTTTCACAAAAGTATTCCCATGTATGGTTGAAGATGGGGTGGTGGTGGTTTAATGTTTTTTATTTATAAAAAAATCCTCCTTCGTTTTCCCCGTTAACTCCTGTGGAGGAATAGAACTGTTTCCATAGGCCTGACAAGAGGTGGGGAACCCTGGGGTCCGCTGGATCACAACTCCCATCAGCCTCGTCGATTTGGCATGCCAAAATGGGGGTTCAAACGAAACCAAAGGCCAGCCATCCCGTGGCAGGTTCCATACCCCTGAAATAACCATAAATCTATTTATACCCTGAGCACTTTTTCCTTAACAACTTATTCCAGGCTTTTGCGTGTGTGTGTTTGTTTAAAAAAAAAAAAAGCACGTCGTTTTGCTTTTGAGTGCAAATTAAAATAAAATAAAAAAGTCTTCTTAAATTGAAACTTTTATTCAGCGATCAAGCAGGAAGGAGGAGGGGCAGTTTCTGCTCACCCAAATTTCCCCAGGCAAAAGATTGAGAGCTGCTAATGTATCATGGGCACTGGTGGGTTAAATCCCAGATTTGTTTCACAGGAAATGATCATTTTTAAGCAGCCACTTGCCATTCCGGCATTTTTTTACACACACACACACACGCACACACACACGCACACACACACGCCCCCTTCCGAAAAGGAAATTGTGTTTGTTAAGACAAATGCCTAAAACCCCTGCGTGTTATGTACAAGCAAAGTTAATTCACCCAAATCATAGAAAACGGCAAGAGGCTTAACCAAAAATAGGGCAAGCAAAGAACCAGCACGAGAATATATATGTGTGTGTGTATATATATATATATATATATATTATTTTTTCCTTAAAAAAAAAAAAAAAAGAAGTCAGGAAGAAAAGCTGAATAGAACTAGTTGTGAATACCTGCAAAAGACTGTTCAGCACAAAAACACAACTTTTCATAGTGACAGATAAATTGCATTATTTAAAAAAACCCAAAAACCTGCGTCTCAATATTGGTTAAGTTATACTAATTTTTTTGTGTTTTCCTTTTTTCCCCTTCTCGACGTCTGTACTTGGCATGCAATAGTAATGTGATTACGCTTTTTTTTAATATAGTTTTTTTTGTGATATTCTTAAAATTAATGCACTTTTTTCCCCTCTCACCACTGTTTGCAGAACCTGTGTGTGTGTGTGTGCTTGCTGTGTACGTGCGCCTTTGTAAACAACGTCACAACAGAAAAACCAGTCAGCTGCTTCTTATGATGGAAACGGTCAGTTCTACGCCTAAAATAGAAGGGGCCATATTTTGGGGTGGGTGGGAAAGGGAGGGGGGAACTGAGAGTCTCTTGAAGGAGGCGCCGGGTGCGAATCAGCACCCCGGGCACCTTCCCGCATACCCTGCTTAATATTCGCTCAAGCTGTGCCACTTTGCAATCTGCTTCCGGGGATTTTCGCACACCTCCCGCCAGTGTTCGACTCCGCCCGCCGTGACGCTGTGCGCCCCCAGGATCAGCCGCCCCACCACCTCGTTCTTGGTGGTGCGGTCAAAGTCGATGACCAGGAACTCCATGCTGACGTCGGGCAGCAGATCGGTGGGGATGTCGTAAATGAAGGACTCGTTGAAGACGGGGTTCAAGGTGCACTTCTTGACGTGGGTCTTCTTTTTCGCGATCCGCTTCCTGCCGTAGTAGACGTTCACCTTGACGTAAGGGTCTGCGGAAGAGGGAGAGGCCAATAACACAGTCCGGGAACGAGGCTGCTTCCTCCGAGGAGTTGTAGGCCGCTTAGACTTATATGCTGCTTCCCAGTGCTTTACAGCCCCCTCACTAAGCGGTTTACAGAGTCAGCATGTTGTATCCCCCCGCTCCCTAACCATCTGGGTCCTCATTTTACTGAGCTCAGAAGGATGGAAGGCTGAGTCAACCTTCAGCCGGTCAAGATTGAACTGCTGGCAGTGGGCAGAATTAGTCTGCAATGCTGTATTCTAACCACGGGGAAGGAAAGGGAAGGAAGGAGGAAGGGGAAGAAGGGAGGGAGAAGGAAGGAAGAAAGGGGAAGAGGGAGGGAGAAGGAAGGAAGGAAGGACAAAGCGAGAGAGAGGAAGGGGGAGGGAGGAAGAGGAGAAAGGGAGGAAGGAAGGGAGAAGGAAGGAAGGAAGGAAGAAAGGGGAAGAGGGAGAAGGAAGAAAGAAGGAGAAAGCGAGAGAGGAAGGGAGGTAGGAAGGGAGGAGGAAGAGGAAGAGGAGAAAGAGAGGGAGGGAGAAGGAAGACTGCTTTACAGCCCTCTCTAAGGTTTATAGAGTCAGACCTATGGTCCCCAACAATCTGGGTCCTCATTTTACCGACCTCGGAGGGACGGCAGGCCGAGTCAACCTCGAGTCGGTGAGATTCGAACTTCCGAACGACTGGCAATCGGGAGTCAGCAGGATCAGCCTGCAAGACTGCATTCTAACCACTGCGCCCCCACGGCTAGCCCTCAACTTAAGGACTGCTCCTTCAGCGACCGTCCAGTGTTAACAACGCCACTCAGGAAGAGGGACGTGGTTTTTTTCACCCTTCGCGACCGTTGCAGCATCCCCACGGTCGCGCGATCCAAGTTCAGGCGCTTAATGGTCTCCTACTTACGACACTTGCGGGATCCTGTCGGTGGAGATTCTCCAGGTCACGGCAGTCCCAAAAGGGCCGTTTTTCAAAAGGCAACTGGACCTCTTTGTTTCTCCATGAAGAAGTTTCGCTTCCCATTCAAGAAGCTTCTTCAGTTCTGGCTGAACGGCGGAAGACGGGAGGACTCCTCAGAGGGAGCGCTAACAACCAGATAACTGCAAGGAACGTAAATCCTTCCATCTTCCACCCTTCGGTCAGAATGGAAGAAGCGTCTTGGATGAGGAGGAGCGACATGTCTTCAAGAGGAAACAAAGATGTCCAGTTGCTTTTTGAAAAAGCACCTCTGAGGACAACCACGATCTGGAGCAGATGGAGAATCTCCACCGACAAATTCAAAGCGTTGAAGAGACTCTACGTCGGGGGCCTTCAAACCTGTCCCTCTGATGACTTGTGGACTTCAACTCCCAGAATTCCAGGCACTGGCTGAGGAATTCTGGGGGTTGAAGTCCACAAGCAGGGGTCTTCAAACCTGGCCCTCTGATGACTTGTGGATTTCAACTCCCAGAATTCCTCCGCCAGGGCCCAGTTTGAAGACCCCTGCTCTATGTAGCCCAAGGCTGAACAGTGGAGATCTTGGACCTCCAACCTCAGAGAGCACCAAGGACTTCCCAAAATACTGCCCAATGGGCTGGGGTCGAAGGTGACGTCGACCATCGTTTCAGCCCCCATATTTGGAAAGGCCCTGGAGAAAACCCAAGGACAGGCCGGAGAAAATAGCTTCTACCTGAGAGGCCGGAGATGTCCATCTTGGGCAGCTGCCTTGCTTTCAACACCATGACGGTCATCCTCTGGGCCACAGGCTGATAGGACAAGGACACCTGTAGCTCTCCTCGGCTGATGCATTTCTGGAAAGAGAAGAGAAGAGATATCCTGTGGAGGACCACCTTACCTTATCCAAGGCTACCTGAACCAACTTCTTGAGATCTTCAACCAGCATCCCTGGGAACGCTTGGGCACCCCAACTCTGGATGGCCGAAACTAGGAGAATATCTACGGCTTCGCTAGAAGAAGGACCTGACCAATTTTGACCTTCATCTCCATGGAGGAGCCAGTTTCACTGAATAACCGGGTTGCTAACTGAACCGCTGCCGTGATTCGCTGAACAAAGGTGGAAAGGAAAGTCGCAAAATGGGGCAAAAACTCACTCAACGAATGTCTCCCTTAGCAACGTAAATTTGGGGCTCACAGTCACGGTTGAGTCAAGGACTACCTGTACAGGTGTCCACTCCACTCTCAGCAAGAGGAGACTGTTTACATCCCTTCAAAGCTAAGCCTGAGCGACAAACCACAACATTTTGTGTTTGATTTCAGCCTTTTGCAGTGTTCAGTAAAGACAGGGCTTGCTGGCTGCCACAGCAACCTTAAAGGGTTAAGTTTTTGTTTTTTAAACAAGATAACATGCAGATAACACCTTTTTCATCTGGAAGAATTGGTTTTTTTGGGGGGTTAGAAAAGGAAAAAAGCCAGAGAGAGGGGGATGGATTGGGGTTTTTTTTTTGTTTTTTTTGGTTAAGTTTATCCAGCGGTGGAATGAAACTGGCACCATGCCGAGTGTTACAAAGCCACTATTAATCCAGTGAATACTGGCCACGTTGCCATGGTTTTCTGTGTCCTACATTCAGGGTTTAAGGGATGAAGCGGTGGTTTTCAAAATGTTGCTTGGGTATTGTCCAAAGAGGCGCCAAAATGCAGCCCAGTGGCAAATGCCTGGACCCCCCAGTTGATTAAGGAGGCTTTATCTAGCTAGCTAGCTAGCTAGCTGTCTGTCTGTCTCTCTCTCTCTCTCTCTCTCTACCTATCTTATCTATCATCTATATTTTTCTACCTGTATCTACCTAAATCTCTCTCTCTCTCTCGTTTGTCCCTCCCCAATGATTAAGTGCACCCCTGCAATTGTTAAGTGAATCACATATAGTCATTAAGTGAATCCAGCTTTCTCTACTCACTTTGCCTGTCGGAAGCCAGCTAGGAACAGTCACTAATGGCAATTAGGGGAGCCCAGTTGTAAATTCACACCTTTTGCCCAGTGCCCCAATTCCCATCCTCTGGGTGTGGGATGCTCTGACGGTTTTAAGTGCGAGGATGTTATAAGTCACCTTTTTTCAGTTCTTTTGTAACTTTGGTCACTAAACAGTCGTAAGTCAAGGGCTACTTGTACGCCTTACTACGCTTTCTTCCTAAACTGCCTTTCAGGCTATCTTGGTTTATCCTGCCTTTCCTATCCTTCATCTGTTGTTTTGGTGGGTTGTCCGTCAGGTCAACTTGACCACGCTTTTGCTCCAAAGCTACGATCACCTTCCTTCCTTGACATGCTCAACTACAATTCCCATCCTCCCCTAGCCAACCTAGCCCAGTCCAAGAATTGAAATCAGACCCATCTCCCAGGTCCCACAACAGAGAGCAACCCGTTAGCTGAAACCCCAGAAGACCCATGTACCTGTATGTTCCTCTTGACGATCTCCCTCGTCAGATGGACCTTCCCGGTGCTGGGGTCCACCCCCGCGAGTGGTACCATCACCTCCCCGATGACATCATCTCGAGAAAAGCGGTCGAAGCTGAGCACCAGGAAGTGGAGGACCAAATCCTGGAGCTGGCTGTAGGGGATGCCGTAAAAGGTGAAGGTCTCGTCGAAGACCGGGTCCAAGGTCTTCCGGAGAACCCGGGTCTTGACGCGGTGTCTCTTGTCCGGCAGGATGGTCATCTTGATGTAGGGATCCGAACCTTGGTTGTGCTCGTCCATCACCGGCAATCCGTGGGCCTCTTGGATGGTCACCACCAGGGCTTTCTTGGGGAAGTTGTAATCCACCGAGAAGGTCAGCGTGCCTAGCATGAGGTCCTCTTCTGGAGAAGACATGGAGGAGGTCTTGCTCCCCACCGGGGTCAAGCTTTGCTGAGGACTCGGTTCTTCGCCGTACTCTACTTTGACGGGGAGCTGGTTGACGGAAGAAGCCGCGTTCAACCCGGCGGAGGTTCCCTCGGAGCCCACCAAGCCAGCTTCGGCCGCGTCCACCAGGAGGTGACCGTTCCCGTCTTTCCTGGCCACGCCCTTCTTGTCCCTCCGGATCCGTATGATTTTCTTCTTATTGGTCAGTGTCTCTGGGTAGATGCTGATGCCTTTCAACATGTGGATGAACTTGTACGGAGGACTCTTCTGCTTCTTCTCCAGCTGCTGGTGGCAACAGGTCCAGACGAAGACCGTCACCGAGACCGACACCACCAGGACGGTGGCCCCGATGAGGCCAGCCACGATGGGGGAGACATCTGGAGAAGGAGAAGCAGGAGATGAGATCAGAACGCCTGCCAGATGTGGACCAACCCCCCCTCCTCTTTTGTAACTCGCTACAGAGGGTCCTCAACTTACGACAAAATTATAATGTCGCTGAAAAAAAGTGACTTGTGATTGCATTTCACACTTGCGACCACTGCAGCATCCTCATAGTCACATGATCAAAATTAGCAACCGGTTCATATTTATGACGGTTACCGTGTCTCACGGTCACGTGTTCCCCTTTTGTGACCTTCTGACAAGCAATGGGGAAGTGTGATTCACTTAACAACCAGGCTCGTGACTTAACAGCCGGAATGATAAGCTTAACCACTGTGTCAAAAAGGCTCTAAAATGATGCACTGCTTAGCACAAGTGTGGTCATAAGCCGAGGACAGACAACCTGCACAAGTAGACCAGGAGCGTTGCAGTGAGAAACACTAAATTTTATTTTCTGGAGTTGATTTTTGCTTCCCTCATTTCTCTCGTCTTTGCATTTGTCAACAATGAGTATGATGTTTAAAAAAAAAAAAGAATTACGTTTGTGTTCTGGGAAACAATAAGTACAGATGTGCCCGGCCCTTAGCCAGCTGCAGTTACGCGAGTTATAATTCCTCCAGTGATTTTCTGACAATGAATGGCCCCATCTCTTTTGTGTCTGTGTGTGGGTGCCAGGTTGGTGCGTTTTTGTGAACAAGACAAGAACGGGGGAGAAAAAACAGCGGGGATCCTCACTCAAATAACCTCCGTGGAGAATAGGAAGATCTCAGAAGGAAAAAAAAAGGTGTATTTTGACCTAAAGGGGAGACACAAGCCTGTCAAAATTCTGAGGAGCAAAAATCGACTTGGTCCAAACAGCTGCCTACTTGAGTTTAATAGAAATATCGAAAACGGATGGCAGGAAAAAAAAAAACTAGTGGTCCACTGAGGCTTTTGTTATTTATTTTTATTGTTTCATTTTTGTCGGACCGCTCCAGCCTGTGCAATTTTATATTTTTACAGCTTTTAAATTTTCCAATCTTAAATTATTCAGTTTCAGTGTTTTATTATATTGATGACATGGTACATTATCCAAAATCCCTCTATTAGAGAGAAGGGAGGTTAAGATGTTCATCTATCATCTATCATCCATCCATCTATCTATCTATCTATCTATCTATCTATCTATCTATCTATCTATCTATCTATCTACTATCTGTCTACCTACCTACCTATCTATCTCCATACATATCTATATCTATTTATCTATTTATCTCCATACATATCTATCTCCATATCTATCTATCTATCTATCTATCTATCTATCTATCTATCTATCTATCTATCTATCTATCTATCTATCTATCTATCTATCTATCATCTACTATCTGTCTATCTATCTATCCATACATATCTATATCTATTTATCTCCATCCATATCTATCTATCTCCATCCATATCTATATTTATCTATTTATCTCCATCCCTATCTATCTATCTATCTATCTATCTATCTATCTATCTATCTAAATGCGCGTTTTTTCCCAAGTTACTCATGATGGATCCACTACCTAATCGAGAGAAACAATCTAGAATTAAGGAGAAATTTCCTGAGAGTGAGGAACAGTGGAACAGCCTGACTCCAGAAGTTGTGGCTGCTCCATCACTGGAGGTTTTTAAGAAGAGACTAAATAGTCACTTGTCTGAAATGGTGTAGAGTTTCTTGTTCAAGCAGGGGGTTGGACTGCAGGACCTTCAGGGTCCCTTCCAACTCCGTTGTTCTACATAAATAAAGACACTACTACGATTAATAATACTCATCAAGGTGAGGGGGAAAAATAACACCAGGGGGTTACGGCTGGCAGTCTTCACGTTCTCCCCAAGGAGGTGTGTGCCAGGCGCCCCGCAGGCTGCTTCGGAAGTGGCTCCTGCTTGTGTGAATGCTCCTGGGGGCAATTAAGGGAGGGGAGGGGGGGGTCAGGACTGCAGGGGCATCAGGATCCAATTCAATCCACCCGGGTGGGGGGGGGGAGAAACACACGGATTGCAGCATCTGGAGTTCACCTCCCCTCAACCCAGCCCACCTCCCCTAATGCTCCAGATTGTTCAACAATGGCTATCAAGGGAAGAGGGACACACAAGACAGACACAGACATCCAAAGCAAACAAAGGCTTTTCCTGTTGTTGTGTTTTTCCCCCACACCTTCTCTGCTTTCCAAGCTACCAGGGGCCGGTCCAACAACAGACATCACGTCATCCTGCTTTTTCATAGTCCCCACTCGGCACCTGCCCCCTCCTCCCTCTAGCATCTCCCACCCCTGGGAAAGAGGGGACCCTTTCAGATGAGGATCTGCCTTGCACCCCTTCTTAGGATCGGCCTCTCCTGCTCCTCCTGGCCAGGCCAGCTCTGGGCACGCCCGTGTGGGTGGGAGGGGGGGCAGAGCAAGGAAGGAAGGGCACCAACAATCTAGGAAGCTGCAAATAAACGAAATGAGATATATATTTATGTATAAAGCCGATGAGGAATAATATTGTTAAGGGTCGGATGGAAGATGAGCTCGGCTGCAAGCGGAGAGGGTGGGTGGGTGGCACTGCCAAGGCCCGGCTGGAGAAGGGTCAGCTTTCCTCACACATCACACCTCATGATGCTTTTCTGCAATCAAGGGCTCGCTGCGGCTTAATTACGGCAGAATTATCAGATTATTCCAAGAGGGAGAACGCTAGAAAAAGAAGGATGGGGTGAGAACAAGGGGGGGGGTCGTCTTTTTTAGGCCGGGAGGCTGCTGCGGGGAGATGTTTGTGTAGAGCTGGTCGTGTGTGTGTGTGTGTGTGTGTGTAGCGTTTGTGCGTTTTTGTCGGAATCTTGCAAAGATCAAGAGGGAAGATTCCTGCTTTGGAGCCGTAGATCCGGATTGGGAATTTGGAGGGGGGGGGGAGAGGGAAGAGAGAGAGAGAGGCTGCCAAGGCAGGTAGTTGTGCAACGCCGCAAGGCCCAGGGAGAATTATGGGATGGGGGGCGTCCGGGGATTTGCAAGCCTCCTAAAGCAGGGAAGGATGCCCGGGCTGAGCTGGGCACGGCCGGGCTGCAGCCAAGAAGGAGAAGGAGGAGGAGAAGGATGCCGGCCTATGGCACACAAGGCCCGCCGCGGAGCTGGCATGGCGCAGCGGCCTTTCTCCCCGGCCCACTCACCGAAGCTGGGGCGGACGCTGGCGATCTCGGCCATGGCAGCTGGCGGAGGAGCAGCGGCGGCGGCGGCGGCGGGGCGAGGCGCTCCGGAGGCGCCCGAGGCGGTTGCGGCGCTGAAGATGCTCTTCGCCTCCCCAGGTCGATGCAGGAGCGGGCGACTGGTCCTCCCTCGGCCCTGGCTCCGCCCCTTTCGAACGAAGCCCGGGCAGAACGCCGCCCCTTTCGAACGAAGCCCGGGCAAAGCGCCGCCCCTTTGGAACCTGGCTGACCCAGCCTCGCTTGCGCTGCGCGATGGAGCCGCCCCGAGGGTGACTGAGCAGGCTTGGCGGTGGATTATGGGTCTCTGCGGAGCTTTGGGGGGGGGGGTTTGCTGGGGATTTAGGACCCGTTGTAAACGAAACGCCTGTTTCCAATGGCCATTTCAGTGACTTTTTTTAAACCTCGGCTTGCTGACTGAGGATGGGCTTTGTAATACTTGAAGTCTGGGTCGTGTGGTACCGTCGCGCTGGTGAAACCAACACGGGTTTTCCTTCTTGAACGTGCAAGCCAAGTGCATCTGTCTAATAGCCGTTCGAATAAAGAACTCTTTAATCTCTTCCCCCCTCCCCCCTGCTCCGCTTGGTTACTGAGGATGGACTTTGTAATACTTGAACTACGGGTTTTGTAGGATTGTTGCACTGGCCAATTCACATGGATTTACCTTCTTTAACGCGCAAGCCAAATGCAACTTTCTAATAGCCTACAGTTTTATCTCTGTAAAAATAGATATGTATCCCTATTGGAAAAAACGGCCCATTGGGAGCCGAATGATGCCTTATTTCCTCTTGGGCTCTAATGTATATATCGTAAGCCGCCCTGTTAAGTTTTTAAATAAGGTATTTGGGCTAAGAACCCAATACATCGAAGAAATTGGGGTACTCTGCAAGGGAGAGTCTTACCTGCTTGCTGATTCTTTGTATTATTAAATAGGCACTTTATTACTGCCTTCCATTTATTTTAACCTGGATCCAGATTATGCATTTTATTTTTATTTTATCGATAAGGCCACAAGACTAATCAATTAATAAAGTATTCTAATAGCCATTTTCTACAGCTTGTTTTTCTTTTAGGGCATTTTATGACTTGGGTCCATTGTTTTGTTTTAGCTGTGTGGAAGCGTGGAGGATTTACAGATGCTTTTAAGCAAATAAGGATAATCCCGGAACTGAAAACCCTGCATTTATTAGACTGAGTCAAGAGGTCAGGTATTTTTAATTTAACGTATGGGATAAAGAATCGGGGAGAGATGCAGCACAAATAATAAGAAGGGTTGGAGCAATTAAAAAATTTCTATTCTAAAAAACAAAGCGATCCCAAACAAATTCAGTATTCCAAATAATAGTGCGAGATGACGAGAAAGACAGCCCAGAGGGAGCCTGTGACGTCAGAGCTCCGGCCCCGCCCTCACGTCACGCGGCCCTCCAAGTTTGGGAAAAACAATCCGCGAAGAAACGGCGTGCCAGCAACCAACATGGCGGCCTTCGCTTCTTCTAATTCTCTTTTCCCTTTTTAAAATCTCGCCCTTTTAAGTTCTGAGGGAGATTCTGCCTCGTCGGCGCCAGACGCCGACAGCCTTTGCCCCCTCGCTCCTCGCCGGCTCTAGAAACTTATTCGTGTAATTCCTACCCTCCTCTCCCTCCCCGCGGGCCCGCAGGAAAGATGGCGGCGGTGCCGGGCTTTTCAGCCGCGCATGCACGGGCCTGCCTGCTCGCCTTTCCTTGACGTCAGTTCCGCTTCCGGCCGGGGAAGCGGGGCCTCCGGATTGGGGGGAAAAGAAAAATGGCTGGAATGGGACTCTGCAACTGTGGAGGAACCGCCGGGGAAGGTCCTCGGTTAGTGTCCGGAGGGGAGAAACCAATACGGGTCCAGTACTCCTCTTTTAACGACCGGTCGCTTAGCGACCGTTTGAGGGGGGGTACCAGCAGCGACGACCACAACTCCCATCATCCGCAGCCACGGCTGTGGCTGGGGTTTATGGGGGTCTCTTTCGGCTTTTGCCGGCCCAGCATCCTCTAAAAAGCGCTCGACTACAACGCCCATCGTCCTAGGGCGATGTGTCTCCCCACCTGGTTTCTGTTCCAAGACCCATCATCCCCAGCCACGCTGCACCAGCCTGTCTTCCTTTTTTAGGAGTTGCGAATAATACGTTGCCTTTAATAAACAACAGCGTCATACAGGTCGTATGGTTCGTTTAGTGACAGTTCGAAGTCAGGGTTGAAAAAAAAGTGACCTTAGGACCGTTTTTTTTTCACACTTAACGACTGTTTGCAGCATCCCTGTGGTCATGTGATCCAAATCTGGGTGTTTGGCAACAGACTCGCTTATATGATGGTTTGCAGGATCATGTGACCCCCTTTTGTGAGCAAAGTCAATGGGGGAAGGTGGATTCACTTAACAACCGGGTGTCTAACTTAAGCAGCTGCAGCGATTCGCTTAGCAACTTGGACGAGGAAGGTCGTAAAATGAGGCAAAGCCCACTTAACCAATGTCCGCAACTGGGACCTGGATTTCTCTAGCTAAGCAAGGCAGGTGGGAGGTGACTCACGACCTGTTTTACGACTCTTTGCTCTGTTTGCCTGCTGTTCGAATTCTCTTTTGTCTTTGCAGCGCTCCGTCGGGAAGCCTTTAGCTGCCATGTCCCTCTCTCCCGCCATGTTGCCCTGCAAGAAGAGGAAAACCGTCCGGATGGATCCCTTTTCCGAAGCCGAGCCTGTTCCGACCGAGGCATCTCCTTCAGGTGAATTAGTTCCTCCTTAGGCTACAGATCTTTTCTTGAGAATCCTCTTGATCACAAATGGCATTTTCCCCAATTTTTCTTCCCTTTTTTTTCTAGATGGCTCCCTTTTGCCAAAGCCAGAGACCGAACAGGAAGACGGAGAAGTTCCTCCTACTGTGAAATCCCTGGGGGGTGCGCAGAGTGTCGATTCGCTCCAAGAAGTAAAGGCGGAAACTGACAAGACGGCCCTTTTTATTTCAGTGGGTGAGTCCGGAACGGGCCAAATACACAAATATTTTTTGTAAGCGGGGTTGATCTCATGATGGGCAGGCTCCATTGCGGTCGTAACTTGAGGACTGTCTGTAATGGACTCAACCCTCTCAAGTTTGCTCACCTGCCTTTTTTAAACCACGCCGCTGTTCGTTCCTTGTTTGCAGATGAACGAGAAGGAGGGAAAAAAAACAGGCGGAAGGGAGTTAAAAGGAAATGGGATGGGAAGTCAGCCGAGGAAGACGAAGGAGGAGGAGGAAGAACTTTAGCTTGTGACCTCAAACTGGACGACACCCTGGACCGGACGTTGGAAGACGGGGCGAAGCAGCACAATTTGACGGCCGTCAACGTGCGAAACATCCTCCACGTGAGTGTGGCAGAGAGACGGGCTGCGTGTAGCCCCAGGCGGCTTTTCCTGGCTTGGAACTCAGGAAGGGGAGAAACTGTGATTTCTTCCCTGTAGGAGGTCATCACCAACGAGCATGTGGTGGCCATGATGAAAGCAGCCATCAGCGAAACGGAAGACGCCCCTGTCTTCGTAAGTCTCGCGACCCTTGGATTGGAGTAGACGGGGAAGGCGTCTCCCAGAAGGGGCCTGTATATCTCAGCAGGAAAATGAGATAGCAGGTCTCCCCATAGCAGATTCTATGTTGGTTAAACAACTGTTTTTTTCCCCCCCTTTTTTTCTCTCTCTCTTTTCCGCTCTTTCTCTGTCTCTCTTCTCTCCCTCTCCCTTTATTTCTTTTTCTCTTTCCCTCTCTCTCCCCTTTCTTTGTTTCTTTTTTCTCTCTCTTCCTTGATCTTTCTTTCTATCTCTTTCTTTTTTCTCTTTCCCTCTTTCTCTTTTTCACTCTCTCCTGTCTTTTTCTCTCCCTCTCCTTTTCTCTCTCTTGCTTTCTTTTTCTTTTCTCTCTTTTCTTTTTTGTCATTCTTCCCTCTCTCTCTTTCCTTCTCTCTTCTCTCTCTCTCACTTTCTTTATTTTTCTCTTTCCCTCTCTCTCCCCTTTCTCTGTTTCTCTTTTTTCCTGTCTCTTCCTTGCTCTTTCTCTCTTCCTTTCTTTTTCTCTTTCCCTCTCTCCCTTTCTCTCTTTCTTTTTCTTTCTCTCTCTTTCTTTTTTTCTTTTTTGTCCTCTCTTTTTCTCTCTTTTCCTCCCTCCCCAATTCAGGAGCCCAAAATGACACGGTCCAAGCTGAAAGAAGTGGTAGAGAAAGGGGTGGTAAGTAAAATATAGTAGCCCTGCAGCTCATTCATCCGTACCTTTGCGCTCTCTCTTTCTGTCTCCTCTCTCCCGCCCTTCAAATATATTCTGGGGTTTAAAAGTATTCATTTATTTGTATCCTGCTTTTATTATTTTTATAAATAATTCAAGGCTGTGAACACAGACAACATCCCTTTCTCCTCTTCCTAGTTCCCCACGCTAACCCTATGAGGTGGGTTGGGCACAGAGGGAGGGACCGGCCCAAAGTCACCCAGATGGCTTTCATGGCTAAGTCGGAACTTGAACTCACCGTCTCTCCATTTCTAGCCTGATGCCTACACCAAAGTGGCCTGTTTTTTTTTAATTTGTTAGTATTATAAGATAAGGCAACAGCTTTTCCCTGTTTGCTGAAACAGCCTGGATAAATGTGGGGCCATTTTCAGACCGTTCTATATATGAATAAATGGGAGGTGGGCCCTGCCTAGAATTCATGCACTTCCTGATTTTTGTATTGGATGGCGATGGTGCCAATCATACTCATTGCCTCCTCAGGTGATTCCAACCTGGAATATTTCTCCCATCAAGAAAGCCAACGAAGTGAAGGTTAGTACTCTGAGATTTTGTTAATCTACCGTGGCAGGCCTGTTATTGTTCTTTGTGGACTGTGGCTGTTGGGAGTAGAAGTCCACAAATGTCTGAAAAAAAAATACATTTGTTGCACTGGTAGGGATTGGTTAGCACATTCCTCTATCTGTAGGATCCTTGTTGCTTTCTGAGCGTCTTCAAATTCTTGCAGACGTTTCATGACCCAATTAGGCAACATCATCAGTGCTAGAAGGGAAAGGAGTTTGCAGAGAGGAGGAGAAGGAGGACAACTGTGGGGTTCCTGGTGCTCTCTGAGCTGGGTGGTTTTCTTGCAGACGTTTCATGACCCAACTAGGCGACACCATCAGTTCTAGAAAACCACCAGACTCAGCACCAAGGACCCCGCAGTTCAACCCTGAGCTACAAATGGTCTCTTTTATAAACTCTCCTCTTTGGATGCTGAAGGTCTTTGCCTGCCTTAAATTCACCCTGTCTTGCTTGCCGTGGTTCAATTCACCAAAATCCTTTCCCGGCGTTTGTTACCGCAAAACTCACTTTTCTGTCCTTCCTCGTTCTTTTTTTTTCTCGCCCTCTTCTCCTGCAGCCCCCTCAGTTTGTGGACATCCCTCTTGAGGACGATGATTCGTCGGATGAGGAATACCAGCCGGAAGAAGATGAAGAGGACGAAACGGCGGAGGAGGTAACGCCTGGCGAGTGGGCAGCCTGGAGCGTCTTGGGGAATAAAGCGAATAAATAAAGCTAATAAATAAAGTCGGACTAGAAGACCTCCAAGGTCCCTTCCAACACTTGTTATCCTTCCTTCCTTCCTTCCTTCCTTCCTTCCTTCCTTCCTTCCTTCCTTCCTTCCTTCCTTCTCCATCAGTGGAGGTCCGGAATGTTGCAGGATTTCTGCCTGAGCAGGGGGTCAGACTAGAAGACCTCCCAGGTCCTGTCCAACTCTGTTATCCTTCCTTCCTTCCTCCCTCCCTCCCTCCCTCCATCATTGGAGGTCCGGAATGTTACTGGATTTCTGCCTGAGCAGGGGGTCAGACTAGAAGACCTCCCAGATCCCTTCCAGCTCTATAATTTTCTTATTCTGTTATTCTTTCCTGTCAGCTTCGACCCCGGAGGCTGGTCGCTCAACCAGGGGAGACCAAATCAGCAGCTGACATCCCCCCACCCCATTTGATTTCCTTTTGTTTTTTTCCCCCAGTGTTTATTGGAGAGCGATGTGGAAAGCAACAGCTCATCCCCGTGGGGCGCCAAGCGCTCTCGTTCGAGACCGTCGGAGACGGTGGAGACGGACGAGGAAGGAGTGGCCCCCTTGGAGGTGAGTGGGGAAGGAAACCCCCTCCTTTCCCTCCCCCCCCAATTTTTCTGGTTTTCTTTCAGGCTTTCCCATCTCTGTATAGGACTGCCTGTAGTTCAGTACCTCGTCAGTACTTGCCAGTTTTCCGAGCACCCCCATTTTGTAAAACACCCCCCCCCATTGCAAGTGACCTTTTCCAGGGCCGTTGCCCCTCCAGGCCGTCGCTAAAACGGACGTTTGTCAAATCGAGCACTGCGTTTACGTACGGCAGTTTGAAAGGCAAAAAAAGCAGCGGTGCGCCCTGTAGGAGGGATTTACGCATTAACGAGGACTGAGCGGGAAGGTTAGACGCCCAGGACTTCCGCTTTGTACTTCTCCAGGCCGAGAAGGGCTGCCCCCCTCCCGTCCAGCAACACGTCAGTGCCAAAGTCACTCCCATGGGCCCGCCCCCGCCCCCCAAGCCGAAGCAAAACAAGGACACCGTGTTCATGGAGAGGCTGCACGCCGTCGACGAGGAACTGGCCTCCAGCCCCGTCTGCATGGATTCCTACCAGGTAAGAACCGGCAAATACACCTTTTGAAAAGGCCCACCTTCCATGTCCATCTCTTACCCCCTCCCTGGGAAACACCCCTTGGGTCCTACAGGAATGTTGGTGATTTGGATGGTTTTTAATCCCGCTTTTATCACTTTGTAAGGAAGTCAAGGTGGCGGGCACACACCGAATGCTTCTTCCTACTGCGGTTTTCCCCACAACAATAACAACTCTGGGAGGTGGGTTGGGTGGAGAGGGAGGGGTTGGCCCCAAAATCACCCAGCCAGCTTTCACAGCTAAAGGGGAACTAGAACTCACCGTCTCCTGGTGATCGGCCCAAAGTCACCCAGCCAGTTTTTATGGCTAAGGCAGGACTAGAACTCACCGTCTCCTGGCGATTGGCCCAAAGTCATCCAAGATGGTTTTCATGCCTAAGACAGGACTAGAACTCACTGTCTCCTGACGATTGGCCCCAAACCATCCAGCCGATTTTCATGCGTAAGGTGGGATTAGAATTCACCGTCGCCTGGCAATTGGCCCAAAGTCACCCAGCCAGCTTTCACAGCTAAAGCGGAACTAGAACTCACCGTCTCCTGGCGATCGGCCCAAAGTCACCCAGCTGATTTTCCTGCTTAAGGCGGGACTACAGCTCACAGCCTCTGGGTGATTGGCCGAAAGTCACCCGGCTGGCTTTCCCGTCTATGGCAGAATTGGAACTCGAGTCTTTAGCTGATTATTAGTTGCGAACGGGAAGTGCTTCAGCTAACCTAACCCCACCGTCCCTTCCCAGCCTTTGGAAGACAGCTTAATCGCCTTCCGCACGCGCTCCAAGCGGCCGCTGAAGGACGTGCCTCTCGGTCAGTTGGAGGCTGAGCTTCGCGCTCCGGACATCACGCCGGACATGTACGACCCCAACACAGCGGATGACGAGGAGTGGAAGAGGTGGCTGGGTGGCTTGATGAATGACGACGTGGAAAACGAAGGCAAGGAGGGCCAGGCCGGGCTGGAGGGTTGTCTGAATTGGACTTTGAGTTTGGAAAGAGGTCTCCAACCTAAGGTCCACAGCCTGATAGCGGGCCGTGGCCTGTTGGTTGTTTTGCGAAGCATCGTCACGAGGAATCCTCTCATGACGATAGAGCCCTTTTTCTCTTCCAGATGAAGCTGATGATGACGATGATGACCCCGAATACAATTTCTTGGAAGATCTGGACGAACCGGACACGGAAGACTTCAGGAATGACCGTGCCGTCAGGATCACAAGTACGTCCCCCTTTTTCTACAGGTTGTAGAAAAAGAGTAGAAAATGAATAGATTATAGAATAGAATAGAATAGAGTAGAATAGAATAGAATAGAATAGAATAGAATATAGAGTAGAGTAGAGTAGAGTAGAATAGAGATAATAGAAGAGAAAAGAAAGAATAGAATAGAATAGAATAGAGATAATAGAAGAGAAGAGAAAAAATAGAATAGAATAGAATAGAGAAATGAATAGAATAGAATAGAATAGAATAGAATAGAATAGAGAAATGAAGAATAGAATAGAATAGAGAAATATAGAATAGAATAGAATAGAATAGAATGGAATATGAAATAATAGAATAGAATAGAATAGAATAGTTGGAAGGGACCTTGGAGGTCATCTAGTCCAACCCCTCGCTCAGGTAGGAAATCCTATCCCAATTCTGACCAATGGTTGTTCAGTCTCTTAAAAACCTTCAGTGATGGAGCACCCACAACTTCTGGAGGCAGGTGGTTCCACTGGTTAAATGTTCTAACTGTCAGGAAGTTTCTCCTTAGTTTCATGTTGCTTCTCTCCTTGATTAGTTTCCATTGTTGCTTCTTGTCCTGCCTTCAGGCACTTTGGAGAATAGCTTGACTCCCTCTTCTTTGGGGCAGCCCCTGAATGCTAGCCCGTTGCCAAGCACATAATACAGGATCATGGGACTGGGGTGGGCGGCGCGTGCAGTCGTAACTTTGAGGACAAGATCATAAATGCCCGTTTCTAAACCCATTATAACTTCAAAAAGTCGTTCAGCAACTTTTAAGGTGTTTTTAAGGCCGAGAAGCGAGAAGATTGCGGATTTAGCCGACTCTCTCTCTCTTTCTCTCTCTCTCTCTCTCTCTCTCTCTCTCTTTCTCTCTGTGTGTGTTTTGTGCCCTGCAGAGAAAGAAGTCAACGAGCTGATGGAGGAACTGTTTGAAACGGTGAGTCTTCCTGGCTCTCCTTTGGAAGGAATCCAGGCATGTTACCAGTCCTCAAGGAACCTTCCCTTGAGTTTGCAAGAGGCCTGCTGGTAAACTCCATGATCAAAACCCAGTTTCAGGATGAAATTGGCTTCCCCAACATAGAGGACGATGGACAGGAGGACGAAGATGGCGCTGCTGAGGCCCGGCCCAATTTTAATACCCCCCAGGTGCTCAGGTAAGGACAAATGAACGTTGTACGTTGAGGGCTAACTAATTCAATAATTCAGGAAAATAATAATAATATAGGACTATCCATTTTTCAGTACCTGTAATTCAATAATTCAGGATAATAATAATAATAATACAGGACTATCTGTTATTCAGTACCTGTAATTCAATAATTCAGGAAAATAGTAATGCAGAATTACCTATTATTCATTCAATAATTCGGGGAAATATTAATAATACAGGATTACCTATTATTCATTACCTGTAATTCAATAATTCGGGAAAATAATAATACAGGACTACCTTATTCAGTGCCTGTCATTCAGTGATTCAGGAAAATATTAATAACACAGGACTGCCTGTCGTTCAGTACCTGTCACTCAATGTTATGTATCTTTCAGCAGTTGCCAGTCCTGCTCAAGCCGGTCGCTTCACGGGCAGGTGGGGCATCCAAAGGCCTTCCACATGTCACGGAACTTCAACTCCCAGAAGGCCTCGCTTCTAGCAAGGCATGCTGGGAGTCGAAGTTCGACACCCTTGGTTTGCCCCGGCTTTGTGCTGCGACCGATTGGAGCTGGGGCCTCCTTATCTGTGGGGCAGGGGGCCCAGAAGGAACGGCCACCCTGTTTGGGAAGGGAGGCAGAGAAAAAACGGCTGGGCCTCGCCACCCCTTCCAGACCGAGCAGTACTGGAAGCGGGCGGCAAGATCCCCTCTGCCTAGCTACAGCCGGGGAGCCGGGTGCAAATGGAGGCAGGCGTCTCCCGAACCCACGCCCTAATCCCTCTTGGGGCAGGTTTGAGGAGCCCCTGGCCAACTTGCTGAACGAGCAGCACCGGACGGTGAAGGAACAGCTGGAGCAGCTGCGGGTGAAGAAGTCCACCGTCAAGCTGCCCCAGGAGATGGAGCGGTCCAAGCTGCGGAACGAGAAGGCGGCCCAGAGCCTGGCGCTGGACCCCGGGCAGAGGAAGAGGCTGCAGCAGCAGATGCAACAGGTTCTCCTTTTGGGGGTGCCTTTCCTGGGCCCCAGGGATTCCCCCCATTCCCGAGGACGCCCCTCGGCCTAGCCCTCTCCAAGCCTGGCAAGTGGTTTTGGGAATTGTGGGTGGGCTGGGGCTAGGCTGACCGCTCACCTTGTCTCCCCAACCGTTGCAGCACGTCCAGCTTCTGACCCAGGTTCACCTCCTCTCCAGTTGCAACCCCAGCCTGAGCTCGGAGGCCAGCACTGCCCAGCTCTTCCTGGTAATTCCGGACCCTTGAGCGTGCATGTGCTCCTCCCTCTCCTCTTTTGTCCTTCTCCATCTCTTCCTCCCTCTTTGTCTTCTCCACCTTCTCCTCTTCCTCTGTCTCCAATGCCTTTGCCGTCTCCTCTATCTCCTTCTTCTCTGTCTTCTTCTCCTTGTCCTCCATCCTCTTCTTCTCCACCTTCCTCTCCTTCTTGTCTGTCTTCCGCTCCGTCTGCTCCTGCTCTTCTCCTCCTCCTCCATCTGATCCTCCTCCTCTGTCTTCTCCTTCTCCATTTTCCCCTTTTGCATCGCCATCTCCTGTTTCTTCTCCTGTCCTTTCCTCCTCCATCTTTTCTTCCTTCTCCTCCATCTCCTCCTCATCATCTTTCTTCTCCTTCTCTGTCTCCTCCTCCTCTTCTCCCCATCTTCTCTTCCTTCTCCTCCATCTCCTCCTCATCATCTTTCTTCTCCTTCTCTGTCTCCTCCTCCTCTTCTCCCCATCTTCTCTTCCTCCTGGTCTACCTTCTCCTCCTGCTCCTCTGTCATCTTCTCCTTCTCCTGTCTTCTCTTTCACCTCATCTATCTCCTCTTTCTCCTTCTTCATCTTCTCTGCTTTTTCCTTGTTTATCATCTTCTCCTCCTCCTCCTCCAGTCTTCAGGCTGAAGTCCACTTCTGGAGCTGGAGCAAAACGGAGGAACGAATCCAGATGGGAATATCTGCCTCGCTTGATCCCTCTCCACTTTCTCCCAAATCCCGCGGCCTGATTTTCAGCTCATTTCTCTCTTTCCATCCCCCCCCCCCCAGACCGAGTTGGAGAGCTTTGCCCAGAGTTCCCTGCTCCTCAATCAGCCTTCCAGCCCCGGATTCCAGACTTCTTTCCAGCCTTTCAACTTGAAGGAATCTCTGCAGCTGATCAAGGACTTCCACGCTCATGTCAAGGTCGAGTGGAGCCCTCGCAAAGCTGTGAAAAAGAACAGTTGAGTTTGTCCACCTCTTAAATTTCAAATAAGATACTGGGGGGCTAAGGAAGAACGTGGGGGGGAGGCTTTTCCTTCATGGAGCCAGGCTGTTTTAAAAGCCATGGCAAACATCAGGGAAGGAATTAAAAATGGTGACTATTCTTTCTTCTTCTTCTTCTTCTTCTTCTTCTTCTTCTTCTTCTTCTTCTTCTTCTTCTTCTTCTTCTTCTTCTTCTTCTTCTTCTTCTTCTTCTTCTTCCTTTCTTCCTTTCTTTCTTTCTTCCTTCCTTCCTTCCTTCCTTCCTTCCTTCCTTCCTTCCTTCCTTCCTTCCTTCCTTCCTTCCTTCCTTCCTTCCTTCTTTCTTCTTCTTTTTTCTTTTTAGTGAACAATTTTGCTTGCTTGCCCAAGCAAGTGGCCTGGATCCTAGCCACCCAGAGAGTTTTCCTGTACCCAGAACTGCTGCCCACCTGCTCCTTCAAGGCCAAAACACCCCGGGATAAGATTGTGTTCACCAAAGGGGAAGATAAGTACGTGCATCTGCCTCACACAGCGACGGAAATTCTGGTTCCCCAATATCAGTTGTCAGTCGGGGTTTACTTGTCAAGGTGTTCTGTTCTAGCCAGCATCGTCACTAGCCCTGATTAACTTAACAATTGCAGTGATTCGCTTAGTTTAATGAAGAGAAGGACATGATAGCAGCGTTCCAGTATCTCAGGGGCTGCCCCAAAGAAGAGGGAATCAAGCTATTCTCCAAAGCGCCTGAAGGCAGGACAAGAAGCAATGGATGGAAACTTATCAAGGAGAGAAGCAACCTAGAACTAAGGAGAAACTTCCTGATAGAACAATTAAGCAGTGGAACCACTTCTCCCTCCCTCTTCCTTCCTTCCCTTCCCTTCCCCGTGGTTAGAATGCAATATTGCAGGCTAACTCTGCCCACAGCCAGGAATTCGATCCTGACCAGCTCAAAGTTGACTCAGCTTTCCATCCTTCCGAGGTCAGTAAAACGAGTACCCAGATGGTTGGGGGCAAGAGGTTGACTCTGTAAACTGCTTAGAGAGGACTGTAAAGCACTGTGAAGCGGTATACAATTATTATTGCTATTTTTCCCTACGTTCCTCCCGTCCCAGCCCTTGTGCTTCCTGACTAGCCTGCCTCTTCCTGTTCCAGCTTGTTAGCGCTGGGCCTGAAGCACTTCGAAGGCACCGACTTCCCCAAACCCCTCATCAGTAAGTACCTCTTGACCACCAAGACGGCCCACCAGCTGACGGGACGGATCAAGAACCGTAACATGAACCGCGTCCCTGACAACATCATCCGAGTAAGTTCCCATGAAAACCGTCTTGTCCAGGGCAAAACCTGGGCAGCTGCTGTCTTTGCATTTCAGCTTGCCTTTAGAGGAAGTAGGTGGGTGGGTGGGTGGGGAGGTGTTACTTTCATGTGGGTTAAATCGGAAAAACGAAACTTCTTCGATTCAGCTGAGGACCGTGGGAGCCCGAAACCTTTTCAAGGACACCAGAAGAGGTGTGGGTTTGAAGCAGACGGTTCCCATAACAAAGCGAACGTGTTAAGATCAGAAATCTGCTTGATCCTTCTCTTACCCGTCGTTCCTGATCTTCCCTTGATTTTCAGTACTACAGAACTACGAAGCAGCTTCCGGTTTTGTCCCGGCTTTGCGGGGAAGTTCAACCTGGAGATTGGAAGCCGCCCGCAGAACAGGAAGAGCATCGCTTGCCGTTCTGGTTAAAAGTAAATTCGGGGGGTGGAGGTGGGGGGGGGTCACGTGAGAAGGCTTTTGCTTGACAACTGGGTTGCCTCACAACGTATTTCCCTGCTCCAGTTACCGTCGTAAGTCAAGGACTACCTGAATTGCCAGGCGGGCATTCAAAACTCCTTTAAGGACATCTCTGTAATTCCGGCTTCCTTGGCCTTCTTTTTTTTGTTTTTTGTTTAAAGTATATTTATTGTATTATGCCACGAAAAGTCAAATGCAAAACAGGAAAACAAAGCGAAACAAAAAACACAACGTCCAGCATTAACGACAGATAAGTTAAGATGATAAGATAACCTTTATTGTCATTTTTTTTACTGTGGGCACAACGGCATACATCAAAAGTGAAATTTAGTTGCCCGCTCTCCAATTGAAACACATACACGACACATACCTAAACATACTATATACAACATATGTGTAGAGACCCACCCCCCTACATATACATAACAAATGAATATTAAATACTGTCCATCTTGAATATACATAACGGAAGGAGGAAGCTTGAGAGTTCACAAGGTTAATGCTGTATGGAATGAAACTCTGGCTGAATCTGGACGTTCTGCTACGGATATAGAATCCACCTTGGCTGGACGTTGAAAAACACACAAACACACACACACAAAAGGGCTTTCTCGGTTGTGGGGCTGGAAAGCTCACTCACACGCCACACAAACCCCATTTTTTCATTTCCTTCTCCCCTTTGTCCAGGCCAACCTGCCCTCCATCCAAGAGGCCACAGAGCAGCAGCGCACTAGAGAGGCCTCCCGGGGCCCCGACGCGGATCCCAAGGCAGGACGCGACACGGCCAGTCCCGCTAACCTTGAATGCCCTCTGCGCATGCCGGAGGGCATCCAGCTGATCCTGAGGCCCCTGAGCAGCCACTTTTGCCACCGGATCTGGCGATGGCAGCGACCGGCCGTTGCCAAACCCTTCCTGGTCCAGCCGAGCCTTTGTTTGCCCCCGGCCGGGGCGGGCGGCTTCCTCAAGCAGCCCCCGCCTGCAGCAGCCCCCGGCAAATTAGCGACTCACGTCTCCCCTTTATCCCAACCGGCTTCGCTCGTCCAGCCGTTGTCGGCCGTGCCCTCCGGACTGGGCAGCGGCCCCCCGTTGGAGCTGCAAGGCGTGCTCTCCGCTAAGCAGCCGTACTTGGCTCCCGCCCTGGCCCAGAACATGGTCTCTTCTCTGCCGGTTGCTTTCCAGTCTAAAATGATCCTCCCGGCTCTGCCCGCCAGCCGGGTCCGGAAGTCTCCCCTCCCGAGGGGGTCCCAGAAGCAGAAGACCCCCTTGCTGAAAGCTGCCCCCGTGCTTCACCCGGCCCCCGTCATCTTCACCGTCCCCGCCGGGACGGTCAAAGTGCTGGGCATCGCCAACGGCTGTAACGTGCTGCAGCCCCTGTCGGCCGCTCCCAGGGCCGCCGTCTCTGCCCCCCAGTCCATCCCCATCACCACGCTGCTGGTCAACCCCACCCCCTTCTCCTGCCCACTCAGGCAGCCCTTGGCGGCTTCCCCTGCCCTGCCCTTAGTGGTGGCCTCCAGTCCGGGCCCGGCGTCTGCCCTGGGCAAAGATTCGGAGATGGCCGCTCAGCCGGGCAGCCACTTGGCGTCCGGCGGGGACGCTGCAGATCCCGTCAAGGCCAAGCTCAAAACGGACTCGGAAGAAGGCCCAGGAGAAGCTGGTGGCCCGTGGTCCTCCGATCACAACTCGGGGGTCCAAACAGAACCTCCCGTCCAGAGTTACGTGGAGGTGGGGGAAGGCAGAGTTGCTGAGGGCTTAGCCCCCGCTGCCTTCTCCCCCTTGGTGGAGTTAGGAGAGCTGGTCAAGATGGACGTGGAAGGCTCGCAGGAGACCCCTCCTTCAGAAGCAGCCTCTGTTCCTCCGGCTTCAGAAGGCTCCCCCGTGAAAGAGGGGTTGATTTTGGACCTTGGGCAGGGCCTGGAGGCCGAGCCGGCCCCGGGGAGCCAACCCAGGAACCAACATGAGGAAGAGGAAGAAGAGGAGACCGTCAACTCAGCAGGCCTACAAGCAGCGTCTTCAGCAGAAGAAGGGAGTCATGCTTCCCCAGCAAACTTCAGCAGCTCCGTGGCGGCTGCGTCGGAGCCCAGCAGCTCCGTGGGAAAGGGGGAGGAAGTGGCCGGAGCGGGGGACCGCCCTGAAGGGGCAGCGTCAGCCGGCCAGGAAGGAGGAGGCGAGAAAGACGGGCTGGAAGAAGAGGAAGAGGAGGATTTTGATGACTACATCCCGGATGAGGAAGACGAAATGTCTTCAGCTTCGGAGGAGTCGGTGCTGTCGGTGCCAGAGCTTCAGGTAAGATCAGGGTGGGGCCTTCTGAACGTGCCTTGAGTTCTGTCTTTTAAGAAGAGACCGGACAGCCATTTGGCTGGAACAGTCACTAAACGAACCCTTGCAAATAGAGGACTGTCTGTATCGTGTTTTGTAAGCTGCCCAGAACGAAGGCGAAGTTGACCAAATGGGAATAAGTCGGGGAAAAAGATAACTGTATCAGCGTCGAACTTGCAAGCGCCCCCTTGCATGGAGGGGTGGATAACGGGGTGCAGGGCCAAATGGGGTGGGGGTCTCGGATTGCTCCTGATCCAACACCGCGCTGGATGTGCTCTTGGGGGGGGGTCTTCAGGAGACCATGGAAAAACTGACGTGGCTGGCCTCCGAGAGGCGGCTGAGCCAGGAGGGGGACTCGGAAGAGGAAAACTCGCAGGAAGAGAACTCGGAGCCGGAGGAGGAAGAGGAGGAGGAGGAGGAAGGTGAAGGAGAACCTGTGGAGAACCGGCAGAAGGAGGATGAAATGGCTGACGAGGCTGTGGGTCCGGGAGACGGGCCGGCCTCCTCTCTCGCTTCAACCTGCACCGTGCCGACGGTGGAGGCCAGTAGCATTCCTCCAGGTGAGCTTTCTTAAAATTGTTTTCTTCCTTCCTTCCTTCCTTCCTTCCTTCTCCTCCTCCTCCTTCTTCTCTCTCTCTCTCTCTCTCTCTCTCTCTCAAATAAGAAGAACAAAAAATAACAAAAGACAAAAGAGGCCTAAATTATCCAAACAAATGAACAAGACTGATCATTGCAACTTTGGAGAGGTTGCTATGTGGCCCCATTGCTCAGTAGATAGAAAATCTGATGAGAAATACAAGGAGGGAGGGAGAGAGGAGAGGAAAGAAGAAGAGAAAGAGAAAGGAAGAGAAGAGAATGGGGATGATGGAGGAGGAGGAGGAGGAGGAATGTGAGGCCTTGGGGCTCTCTGAGCTGGGCGGTTTTCTTGCAGACGTTTGATGACCCAACTAGGTAGCGTCATCAGTGCTAGAAGGAGGTGGGGTTTGCAAGCAGGAAGAGGACTGTGGGGTCCTTGGGCTATCCGAGCTTGGTAGTTTTCTTCAAGATATTTCATGACCCAACAACGTAATATCCTCCTCGCAAATCCCACCTCCTTCTAGCACTGATGACGTTATCTCGTTAGGTCATGAAATGTCTGCCAGAAAACCACCAAGCTCAGAGAGCACCAAGGACTTACATTCCTCCTCCTCCTCCTCCTCCATCATCCCATTCTCCTCTTCTCTCCTCTTCTCTTCTCCTGGGGCTTCTTCTGAGTCCACGGTTCCTCCATAGCACCTGAGAGCCCCCACCTGTCCTCTCTCCCTAACTGCCAAGCCACTGCTCCCATCTTTCACTCTGGCTGTCTCGTGCTAGGAGAGAACCCCAAAACCACCACCAAGAGCCGAGGCTCCCACCGAGCCCGAGCCAAGCGGGGCCGGGGCCGCACCAGCAAAGATGCCTCCAAGCTGCTGCTCCTCTACGATAACAACATCCTGGAGAGAGACCCACTGCGCGAACAGAAGGACTTCGCTTTCGCCCAGGCTTACCTGAATAGGGTGAGTGAGGAGGCTCGGATGGAGGGACCTTGAACTCAGACCGTCCCATACTGGGGGAATGTCCCAAAGGTGCTTGTTTTTTTCAGGAGGCAACTGGACTTCCTTATATATATATGTTTCTTTGAAGACGTCTTGTTTTGTCACAGTAATGATTTAAAAGCTAACCAGCTTATGTAATGTAAGATGTAATGATGGGGATGACTCAGCAAGGTCAGTGTCTCTTTAAGAGCCAGCAGGGTCTGTGTCTCTTTAAGAACCAGCAGGGTCTCTTTAAGAGCCATTGTATAAAAGGGAAGATTCCGCTGATGTGTTTTCTCTCTTCTATTTCCGGCTGTAACTGTGGTTTGTTGGATCCTGCTGTATTAACATGTGTATGTATATTGTTCCTGGTGTATGATATTGTAGATAGTGCAAGATAAGCTACCATTTAATACAAACCACTGTTTACTGTGTTTACTCCTGGGTTATCTCAGCGCAATTAGACTGTGCACGCTCTGACACGCTTCTCATCCAACAAGCTTCTTCAGCTCTGACTGGATGGTGGGGAATGGAAGGATTTATACTCCTTGCAGACCGCTGGTCATTTGCATCATTTGAGAGGGTCGTTGAGGCCACTTGGAGGTTTGTCTGTGTCCTGAGTGGTGCAAATGGTTGTGGAGCCTTCTTGGAACTGCTGAAAGGACTGTGTTCCACACCCATTTGCACCATTCAGGTGACCCTGAGGACGCAGGTAAACCCCCAAGTGGCCTCAACGACTCTCCAAAAGGAGGCAAATGACCAGCGGACTGCAAGGAGTATAAATCCTTCCCTTCCCCACCATCCCAGTCAGAGCTCAAGACGCTTTTTGGAGAAGAAGCAAAACGTCTTCAAAGGAAAAAAAGAAGTCCTGAGAAAAGCACTTTTGGGACAACCAGGACCTGGATGACCCGAGAACCTCCTGAGACGTTTACCGGGAAATTGCTCGTCCCCACAGGTCCGCGAAGCCCTGCGCCTCGTTCCGGGCAAATACGAAGAATTCCTCCGCAACATTTATGAATTTGAGAACAACTTGCAGAAGCAGACGGCTGTCGACCTCTACGCCCGGTTGCAAATCCTCCTTCAGGATTGGCCTCAACTGTTGACCGACTTTGCGGCCTTCCTGTTGCCCGAGCAAGCGCTGGAGTGCGGGCTGGTGGGTCAGCTGGGGAGGGAGGGGCCGGCAGCTCAGCTTGGCAAGGGGGTTAAGGCTGGGAAGGGGAGAGAGAACCTGTGGGATCCATGGACGGGCTCAGTCTAGCACTGGGTCAGCCCCTGAGTTGTCCTCAGGCGGATAAGATGCTTTTTTTTTTTTTTTTTCCTCCCACCAGTTTGAGGAACAGCAGGCCTTCGAGAAGAGCCGGACGTTCCTTCGGCGGTTGGAGATCTGCTTTGCTGAGAATCCGTCCCACCACCAGAAGATCATCAAGGTGTTGCAGAACTGCGCAGAATGTGTCCCGCAAGAGATCGTGGAAGTAAGATGTTTTCTCCCCACTCCTTCCCACCTCGGGTCTAGCACTGATGATGTTACCTAGTCTGGTAATGAAACGTCCGCCAGAAAGCCACCAAGCTCAGAGAGCACACCAAGGACCCCACAGTCATCGTTGTTGTCGTCGTCCTCCTCCTCCTTGCAAACCCCACTCCCTTCTATCACTGATGGTATTACCTAGTTGGGTCATAGAATGTCTCCAAGAAAACCACCAAGCTCAAAGAGCACCAAGAACCCCACAGTCGTCATCGTCCTCCTCCTCCTCCTCTCCGCAAACCCCATCTCCTTCTAGCACTGAAGATATTACCTAGTTGGGTCATGAAATGTCCACAAGAATAGGCGGGCAAAAATCCCAAATCTGATCTGAACATCTGGCTGACTGCAATGAACCCTAATAACACATAGCCATATGTTTATACTGGGTCTGGCATTTGGATGCCCTTCTCGAGTACTTCCCAAGGTTTTGGGATAGGCAGATGCGGTGATTTGATGTTGTTAAAGGTAGGATTTAAGCTGTTCCGAGTCAAACTGCCTTTCGCAATTGACCGATGGGGATTTTGTCAGTGCCAAAGGGGTTCAATTGCTATTGTTGTGGTCTGTCACACAGTCAGCCCGATGTTTAGACTGGGTTTGGCATTTTTGTCCACTTATGAGGTCCTTCCCAAGGGCCTGGGATGGGCAGACGTTGGTGTTTAATCATATTAAAAGTATAATTGTAGGATTTAAGCTGTTCCGAGTCAGGCTGCCTTTCGCAATTGACTGACAGGGATTTCATCAATGCTGATGGGGTTCTGGGCTTGCACTTGAGGCACCTATTGGTGCTGTCAGAAACACAGCAGACAAGGAACAATCCGGATAAATAAGTAAATCGTTTTAACCGTCTTGAACCTCTGGATTTAGCTGAAGAACCAGATGTGGCAGCTGCTGAAAGGACACGATCACCTGCAGGACGAGTTCTCCGTCTTCTTCGATCACCTGCGCCCCTCGGCCAGCCGCCTGGGGGATTTTGAAGAAATCAATTGGACGGAGGAGAAAGAATACGAGGTGGGTGGGTGTCTCCCAGGCCTCTTCCGGTCCTCCTGGGAAGGGGAATGGATTGGAGCGGGGGGGGGGAGAGGCCAGGAGTTCCGATCTTCCCAACTGATGAGGCTGATGGGAGGCTGCAAGAGGTAAACCTGGCTTTCCCTCTCCTTCCAGTTCGACGGGTTTGAAGAAGTCTCGCTGCCAGACATGGAGGAAGAGGAGGAGCCCCCCAAAGTCCACGCCGCCTCGAAGAACAAGAGACGGAAGGAGCTGGGGAGCCAGAATGCCGAGAAGGTGGAAATCCTGTCATTGTCTGTCTGTCTGTCTCTATCATCTGTGTAGTCTGCCTGTCTATGTGTCTGTGTGTCTGTCTGTCTATCTATCTATCTATCTATCTATCTATCTATCTATCTATCTATCTATCTATCTATCTATCTATCTATCCTATCTATCTTATCTATCATCACTCTCTCTCCATCAATTATTATCTGTCTCTCTATCTCTATCTATGTAATCTGTCTGTCTGTCTGTCTGTCTATCTATCTATCTATCTATCTATCTATCTATCTATCTATCTATCTAATCTTATCATGACTCTCTCCCTCCTTCTATTATTATCTGTCCCTCTATCTCTATCCGCTATGTAATCTGTTTGTCTGTCTGTCTGTCTGTCTCTATCTAATCTAATCTAATCTAATCTATCCAGGCTTTGATTAGGAGCAGCCCAGAGTTGGTCGAAACATGGACAGCCGGATCAACCTTTTTATTAAAAAATAAATAAATTCACAGCTCCTGTGGAAACTGCCACCGCTAAGCCAGGCAGTCGCGTAGTGTCTCTCTCTTAACAATTGCTTTGCTTAATGACGGAGTTGCCGGTCCCGATTAGAACTCGTAAAGCCAGGACAGGGGAGAGATTTGCCCTGGAATCCAGGAGCCAGTTCTTCGGGGACTATTAAGGGACGCATCGCGGCCGGCGGAAGGTGGGCCAGCCCTTCCCACAGAGAGGCTGGCTTGACCGATCCTGTGGCTCATGTTGGTTTCCAGGTCCCCTTTCAGGAGGCCGAGTGGCTGGACGGGCACAAGGACTGGTGTGGCTCCTGCCACGAGGGCAGCGGGGACCCCCGGCTAAAGCGGAGCAAGCGACGGAGTTGCGCCCACTGCTGCAGCAAGGTGAGGAGGGGGCCAGGGTCTTGGGGAGGGGGCCAGGGTCTTGGGGAGGGGGCCAGGGTCTTGGGGAGGGGGCCGGAGACGCCGAAAAGCCCCTCCAGAGGGTCCTCCAACCAGCCAAGTGGGAGAATCGGGGAAAGGGGGGTCCGAAGCTTCGTGGCCACCCGTCTGTCTCCCGAAAGATGGACGGGCGTGGCTGGATCTTCCCGCAGGTGGGAGAGCCCAAAGGCCCCAGAAGCAAAGAGCCGGGCGAGTTGGCCGAGGGCCGTGGGCAGCGGGAGCCCAGCCCTCGGCTGGAAGGGAAGGAGCCCCCCGAGGGCAGCGCGGAGAGGAGGGACGATGGGGAAGCCGTCCCCGGCAGGATCAGAGCTGCCAGCCGGAAGGGCGAGTCGGCCGGAGGAGGTGGGTTTGGGATGGGAAAGGAGGGAGGGATTAGGGAAGGGGGTCAGTCTGCAGGATGACCGGCTGGATTTTGGACGGGGGGGGGACTGTCCCATCAGATAGAAATGTCCCTTTGTGGGAAGGAAAGCTTTTCCTTCTTTCCTTTCCCTTCCTTTCTTCTATCTTCCTTTCCTTTTCCTTCCTTTCCTTCTATCTTCCTTCCCTTCCCTTTCCTTCTTCTATCTTTCTTTCCTTTCCTCCTTTTCCTTTGCTTTCCTCATTCATTCCCTCCTACCCTCCCTCCCCCTTCCATTGTTCCCTCCTCCTTTCTTTCCTTCCCTCCCTCTCCCTATTTCTTCGTTCCTTCTTTCCCACCTTCCCTCCTTCCTTTCTTCCACCCCTCCTCTCCTTCTTTCCTCTTTCCTCCCTCCCCTCTGTCTTCGTTTCTTCCCTCCCTTTTTCCTTCTTTCCATCCCTCCTCACCTCCCTCCCTCCTTCCTTCCTCCCCCCCCCAGCTCAGCAAAACTGTCCCCCCTTAGAAAAGTCACCTCCGGGGTCCAGCTGGATTCACCCTTCTTCCCTTCTCTCTTTCTGCATCCCAGGTGCTCGCCCGGAAGGGAAGCCCCTTTCGTCCAGAGATGCCCCCCCGGAGGGTCTTCTCCCACCGGCTGGCAAAGCCCCGGAGTCCTCTCCTCCCCCTGCCCCTCCCTGCCCTCCAACCGGGGGCGAGCCCGCCAGGAATTCTCCCGTGACTGCGCCGCTGCCTCCGAGGGGGGCCAGCCCCCCCAAGCCCCACCGGCTGAAAAGCAGCCTGGGCCCCACGGAGGGCAAAAGAGAGGTGGGACTCGGCCCCAGGAGCGGGGAGCCACCTGCAGCCCCCAAGCCAGACCGTTCGGAGACCGGAAGCCCTTCCAACGCAGCCAGGCCAATTCCTGGTTCTGCTCCCTCCCTCGTTCCTTCTGGGTTGGATCTCACGGAGGCAGACGTCCAGCCCCCCTCGGTGAGCCCAAAGGCCAAAGCAAGGGAGATGCTGTCCGTGGCCTCGGAAGACCTCGCCCCAAAGGCTTTGGGGGCGAGCGAGAGCCTGCCGGCTCCACAGGAGATCCCCGCAGCCGCCAGCCTGCAGGCCGCGAACCCAACCGGGAAACCATCCGAGGGAGGGGATGTCCATTCGCACAAGGAAGAGGGGTTGACCCCGGTGGCAGGGGAAGACCCTCAGCAGAGGACCATCGAACCCACCGTGTGTGCCAAGAACATCAAGGTCAGCTCGACGGGGGAAAAAGTGGTCTTGTGGACCAGGTGGGTGCCCTCCTTCCTTTCTCGGATGCTTGTCTTAAGAAGACGGTCGGGTTCTTTGGGGACCAGAGACTTGGGCTGAGAGAATAACCAGCAGTGGCTGAATTCAGACAAGCCGCTCGACCAGATCAATGGAAAGCCTGGGTTTTCCCCAGTGTTTTGCCGATGGGTGAAATCTAAATTCCCTTCCTACGTCCTTCTTCCAGGGAAGCTGACCGGGTGATCCTGACCACCTGCCAGGAGCGAGGGGCTGATCCGAAGACTTTCAGCGCCATCTCCGAACAGCTGGGCAACAAGACCCCAGATGAGGTGGGCCTTCCTTCTCCTGGGGGGGCGTTCTCCCCACCCACCCCAATCTGGCCCAAATGTGTCCCGGCAGGACCCAGCAGAGGGGTGGATCTTGGGAAAAGAAACAGAAATTTAATTTTTGCTGGAGGAGTCTCCATTTGAAGATTTGTGGACTTCAACTCCCAGAATTTAGAGGCTGAATTCTGCACAAGTCAGCTAGGGAATTCTGGGAGTGGAAGTCCATATATGGTTCCTGGAGAATTCTGGGAGTTTGTTCGCACAAGCCACCTTGGGAATTCTGGGAGTTGAAATCTGCCTGGGGAATTTGGGGACTCGCAAATCCGTATATTCTGGCCTGAAGAATTCTGGGAATTGAAATCTGCATAAGCCAAACTGGGGAATTCTGGGAGTTCAGGTCCATACATGCTGCTGGGGAATTCTGCTTGTCGAAATCCATACTTGCTGCTTGGGAAATCCTGGGAATTGAAGCCTATACCTGCTGCCTGGAGGATTCTGGGACTCGAAGTCCCTATATTCTGGCTGAGGAATTCTGGGAATTGAAATCTGCCTAAGCTAGACTGGGAGTTAAGGTCCATAAATGCTCCCTAGCGGATTCTGGGACTTGGAAGTCCACATATTCTGGCCTGGGGGATTCTGGGGGTTGACGTTTGCGCGAGCCAAGATGGGGAATTCTCTGGGACATGAAGCCACCCATCTTCCACGCCTTGAGAATCACGGCAGCTTCTTCCATGCAGGTGGCCCACCGTTTCCGCGAACTGATGACCTTGTTCCACACGGCCTGCGAGGTCAGCTCGGACGACGAGGAAGACGGCATGAGCACCAGCAACGCCGATCAGCTTTCCGACAAAGAGCCCGCCCTGTCGGAGGACGACCCGGAAGAACCGGGCTTTTAATCCGGGTCAAGCCCTCCTCTCTGGCAGAGAGGAACGTTTGGGGGGGGGTCTGGCCGTGCGTTTTGGCCCACCTTCGCTCTGCAGCTCCCTTTTGCGACCCCGAAGATTGGCCGGTTTTTAATTCCCCCCTGCGAAAGATGGAGGGGAGGAAAAAACCAACCATCTCTCGGCTCTGTAAATATATATTTTTTTTAAAGTAGGAAATGTATAAATTAACGGGGATGGGGGGCTGAATATTTATTGAGCGTGGTATTTTAAAGAATTAAAGCAGACCGTCGAGGCGGCGTTTCCTCCGGATGCCTTTTTTTTTTTAAAAAAAAAAAGCCGTCCCAAAATCTCAAAAACACGCCAAGCAAGGGCGTTCTCGCCGGGTTTTTATTTCTCTGATTTTTAAACCTGATCCGAGCCCCGGGAAGTGGCTCAGTCGGTATCGTCGCTGTCCAAGTTTTCGTCCAGGCTGCCCTTTTTGTAGCAGAGGGACAGCGTCCGCAGTTCGTCCAAGGCCTCCTGGAAGTCGTCCGTCTCCATCCCCGCGGAGAAGAAGCTCACCCAGCGCCGCAGGTCCGTTCCGTGCAGCTTGTGGTAAACGTCGCCGAGGGTTTGGTACAAGCCCGCCGAGGATTGGAAGGCAGCTAAGACCGGGAGGCTTTCGACCTCTGTAAGAGGGGAGAGAGAGAGAGAAAATTGCTGAGTGGTGGGATTTCCTGATTCGGCTGAATTAGTAAGTTCGTGGTTTGGGCAGGATTCGGTCCTGCCCATTGACTGTGCCTCCTTCGCTTACCTCAAACCGGTTGGTCGTCATTGTAAGCCTCCCTGTTTCTCAACCTTGGCAGATGTTGGGACGTCCACTACCCAGAATTCCCCAGCCAGCAGGAAGTCCACCCACCTTAAAGCAGGATGCCTGAGGAATTCTGGGCGTTGAAGTCCAAATATCTTAAGCGTTCCGGCTGGGGAATTCTGGGAATTTGGAGCCCACCCATCTTAAATTATTCTGCCCTGGGAATTCTGGGATTTCAAAACTGAGTGAAAACACTGCTTCAGCTAAAGCACAAACAGCAGCATTTACGATCGGGCAACACTCTGCAAGGCCATTGCGGCTTAGCACAGCACAATGTGAGCCCCTTGATGCATTCCCGAAGCCACACTGTTGTGTGTTTGTGTGTCTGTCCTTACGCGCTGGGCTGCGGGACGGCTTCTTGGAAAGGAATCCGTGCTTGTTCAGGAAAGGCGAGAAAAACGGGGGGTATGGAGCCAAAAGCTTGCAGGGCCCTTGCAGCAAAAGCGAGGTGCTGTGGGAGAAAAGGACCAGGAGGTTTGAAGGGGAATGTTCCCCCCCCCATCCCCTCCCTCTTTCCCTCCCTCCTCCCCCCTTTGCCCAGGCTGGCCGGACCACCAACCTTAGGGTCTGTGGAGAGACGGTGTGTAAGTAGTGGGCCAGGACTTCCTGTCCGGTCTCACACGTGTGAAGGATGGACTTGGGTTCAGTCCCTGGAGGAGCGTTGCTGGAAGGAAAATAAGATGGGAGAGACCCCAAGTTACAACAGGGGGAGGGCGGGATTGTGAAGAAACCTAGGAGCAGCCATGGGGAGGGCAGAACTATGAATTGTGTCGCTATCGGCCCAAAACGCCGTCTCTGAATCAGCCAGGAGGCCAGAAATCTGATTATTCCTCCAGATCAGGGGTCTTCCAACTTGGCCCTGGCTGAGGAATTCTGGGAGTTGAAGTCCACAAGTCTTAAAAGGGCCAAGTTGGAAGACCCCCACCCCAGATGGCCTTGTTTCAGACAACTCAGAGCAGACTCACTGACTTAGCTGCAAGACATGCAGTTTTTGACTCGCAACCATTTGTTTACACCCCAACATTTCTGTCATCAAGGCAGACATTTGCCGAGTTGATTTTTGCCCTGTTTTACGACCTTTCTCACCACGGTTGCTAAAGGAGTCACTGCAGTTGATAAGCTAGTCGCTCGTCAACTGAGTTGCAAGGAGGAATATAAACATGCACGGACACACACACAGACACACGTGCACAAGCACGGGCACGGACAGACCCTGTAAGAGGGTGAGTGCAAACCACACACAAACCAAGACCCACCTCACTTGCTGCCGCTTGCCGATCCCTCGCAACACAACCGACTGTGCGAAGCAGCTGGCATCGCCTCGGTTGCCGCAAGATGACAACGGACACCAGGCCGTGCTGGGTTGTTGGCTGTACAAGGCATCAGGGAGGGACTGGTCCTCTGCCACGGGGAAGGGAAGGGCGGCTGAGGCCTCGGCCACCTGGGGGAGGGGGGAGATGTCTCTTTTCGGGGGTGTGATCTGGTTCTTCCGCGTTTTAGACACACACACAAACCCCGTGGTTCCCCCGAAAACGAAGGTAGAGTCAGGACTATCCAGGTTATACAGCAAGTCCTCAACTTGTTTGTTTAGTCACTGGCCAAGGTTAGACCGGCATTGAAAAAAGGGACTTATGAGCACTTTTCACGATATGATCAAAATTCAGACGGGCAACTGACTCGTATTTATGACGGTTGCAGTATTCCAGATTGTCTGTCTGTCTGTCTGTCTATCTATCTATCTTATCTTTTTCTATCTATATCTACCTAAATCTATCATTATATCTATATCAATCTATCTGTATCTTCTATCATCTATATCATCTATCTTTATCATCTATATCACCTATCAATCATCTATATATCTATATCTTATATCATCTATCAATCTATATATATCTTATATCATCTATGTCCATCTATCTGTATCTTCTATGTCTGTCTGTCTGTCTGTCTGCCTGTCTATCCATCCATCCATCCATCCATCATCTGTTATCTTTTGTTTGTCTATCAATCATCTATCAGTTATCTTTCTGAATGGGTCTCCATTCATGCATCCATCTATCATCCATCTTTGTCTATCAATCATTTATCATCTGTCTGTCTGAATGGATCTTGATCTATTTATCTATCTATCTATCTCTTTCTTTCCGCATCCTTCAGGTAGTGGACCAGACAGCTAATAACATTTTATATTATTTAAATATCATTGAAATACATTTAAATATCTATAGCCAGGGGAACCAGATTGTCCAAGTCAAACAGAGGTACCTTCCGCCCGGAGAAATTCAGGCTTTCGGTCAGGCTGGCCATGGAGATGTCCGAGGCCTGGAGCCGGTATGGGATGGTGAGCGTGTCCAGTGCGGTGGCCAGGATGGCGCTCGTGTGATAATCCAGAGAGGGCTACATGGAATGATAAAAAACAGAAATACCCCCGTATTTTAGGCAGTCCGCGACTTAACAGTGGTCCGTTTAATGACTGTTCTAAGTGACTTTGACCATTTTTTTCACCCTGGACAGTTGAAGCATCCCCGTGGCCACGTGATCAAGACTCAAGACGCTTGGCAACTTGACTCCTATTTATGACAGTGGCAGCGTCCCTGGGTTCCCTGATCCCCTTTGGCGACATTCTGACAAGCAAAAGTCCATGGGGAAGCCAGGTTCACTTTTAACCACCATCTTGCTAACTTGGCTAGTAAGGTTGTTAAAGGAGGCAACAGTCACTTATCAGCAGTCTGGTTTAGCAACAGAAAATTTGGGCTCGGTTGTGGCCGTAAGCCGAGGACCGCCTGTGCAAGGAGCTTTGGGAGCAGGAGGGAGGGAGGTGGCCACTCCCTCCAGCCCAAAATCCCTGATGCCTCCTTATCAATTCCACCCCACCCTCGTTCCGTGGCCGGAGAGAGGCTTGCATTTACAAAGGCTCACCTCGTAGTGGACGTACGGCAAAGCCACCGGCCCGTCCAATTTGAGCCCCAGGTTCCCGTTTAGCGACAAGGGGCAGAAGAGCGAACTGTGGCTGGCAAGCCGGACGATGCCCAGTGCCGTGTTCATGAGCCGGTAGAAATTCCGATGGGGAAGCTGCCGAGACAGAGAGAGAAAGACAAGGGCCTCCTTCAGCCTCATTTAACAATCGCAGGACGTGAACCTCGGAATTTATTCCACTCCTGCTGGCTTGTCTCCAAAAAAATCATAAAGGAACGATAAGGCAGGTCACCAGGTGACACGAGAGGATGTGAGTCCTGGTTTCAGCATCCCTAAACGTTGACCTCCGGCCTTTGCATGCCGCTAGTCCTCAGTGAGCCCTGGGAACTCGTTTTGCTCCTCTTCGGGGCCGCTGCGGAGAAGACGGGAGCCCCAGATTGGTGTAGTGCTGCTGGTGCTGACTTCGAAAGCAAGCGATGGCCGGTTCTTGTTCTGCCATCCAGCTGGGGTTGAGTTTGGGCCCAATCACCAGGAGGCGGTGAGTTCTAGTCCTGCCTTAGGCACAAAAGCTAAGTGGGTGACTTTGGGCCAATCACCAGGAGATGGTGAGTTCTAGTTTTGACTTAGGCATGAAAGCCAGCTGAGTGACTTTGGGCCAGCCCTCCCTCTTAGACCAGACCAGACCAGACCAGCCCAGCAGACTGTCATTATGGGAAAAACAGGCGTCAAAAGTCGCATGAAGTATGTCCATTGCCCCGAGTTATTTATAAAAAGTAGTCCAGGCAGCATCAAACTTTAATACACCAATATTCAAAAGACTTAAAAGAGTCCCACTTACGTTGGATTGAAGCACTGGCGTCAGCCCACAAGCCAAGATGCCTTTTCCTGCGTATTCGTCCTGCAGCAGCTCGGCTGCCTTGGATCCGAGTCCCGAGAAGCCATTGTGGAGGTCGCAGAGCAGCTGAAAACCCTGGGCGAGACAAAAAAGAGGGTGCAGGAGACTTCCTAGAGAGCTAAAATGCCAGCCGGGCCCCTTTTCAAAACGGGACGGTTGAGAAACAGCAGAAAGAGCGAAGGGGTGGCTGAGAATGTGTGCAAAAAAATCTGGGATCAGCCCCTGGGAACCTGCAAGTTGAAGTCCACAGGTTTTGAAGCTGCCAAGTTTAGAGACCCCTGCTTTCCAGCCACAGGGGCGCAAGATCCGTGCTGGATGGATGACTTACCTGCAGGTAATCACACTCTTCCACGTAGAAGTGCAGCCGATCCTCCAGTTCCTCAAGGTACCGGCCATCCTGCAAGAGTTTTTCTCCTTGTCCGAACGCCTCCAGCCGGCTGGACTCTCTGCAGTGGACAGGAAGCCAAATTCAGGCAGGTCCTCGTTGGGCAGGAGAAACAGGATTTCTCCCCCCCCCCCCAAAAAAAAGATGGGAGAAAGGTTCCCCCTTCCTCCTCCCTGCCTGAGAACCACCCAGCCAGGACCCCCGACTCACTCCTCGCGGTTGTATTCGTGGACGGTTAGGATGCTCCGCGGGTGGAGATTGGTACGGAGGAAGTCTGACCAAGCGGGCGCAGGTCTCTCGGATGCCAGCGGCTTGGTGAGCTGCTGCAGCTTTCCTGGAAAAAGATACCACCAGGAGATGCACGGGCCACGTTTCAGCAAGAAACTTATATAAAAAATGCAATAAAATTAAAATAAAATAAATGGAAATTGCAATTAATTAAGAAGCTTATATAAAATAAAATTAAAATTAAATAAATAAAATAAATTGAAATTAATAAATTAAAAGAAACATACAATAAAATGCAATAAAAACAAAATAAAATAAACGGAAATTGCAATTAATTAAGAAGATTATATAAAATAAAATTAAAATAAAATATAAATAAAATACATTGAAATTAATTAAATTAAAAGAAACCTGTAATAAAATAAAATGCAATAAAATTAAATTAAAATTAAAGAAACACGCACACACATGGACACACACACACACACACACACACCTTTACCAGCAGGGAGGGTCTTAGATACGAAATCTCCGTTGGAAAACCTCTCGCCCTGAAATAGAGAGAAAAAAGGAGAAGAGCTGGCATGGGAGGAAAATCAATCAATCAATCAAATAAATGTCTGGTCCCAGTTTATCCATCCCTAAGACCGAGGTCCTCCCTCCGTGGGAAAAAGGAATAATTCTCAGAAATGGTGTGTGGGAGGAGAGCGCGCGAGAGAGGCTCACCTCAGGCTGGTCAAGTCCTTCCAAAAAGGGACTGGGGGGGACTGGGTTTTGCTGGTGTGTTGTGAGGTTCCCCTTCCTGGAAGGAAAAGATCTGTTTGTATCAGCCAGAGCAGGAAATACAGGTGGTCCTCAACTTATGACCACAATCGGGAACAGAATTTCTGTTGTTAAGTAATAATAATAATAATAACTCGATAGGTAGACAAAATGCCAAATCCAGTCTGAACATCTGGCTGATTGTGCGATGATCCATAATAATAATACTAAAAGTTGGAAGGGATCTTGGAAAAAGAAAGAAGGAAAGAAAAGGAAGGAAAGAAAAAAGAAAGAAGAAGGAGGGGAAAAAATAGTCAATTGCCCTTGGAAAAATCCGCTCACCAAGCCACGGGGATGTTGTTTTTCGGGTCCTCGTACAGGTATCCCTCCTGTTTCAGAGCGGCGAGACTTTCTGCCCAGAAATAAAAACAGGTTTCTGGTTTTAGAGACACCCCCCCCCCCGGTGGACCGAAACACATCAAGGGGCAGGCAGTCCTCACTTTATGTCTCCAATGGCAAACAGAATTTCCGCTGACGAGCGAGGCATTCGTGAAGGGAACCGCACCCGGTTTTGACAGCCTCCCACGAGCCCTCCGGTGCTTTTTCGACAGGATTTACCACCCTTTTAACTCGTCACCTTTCAGGTCCATCAGGATGAGGCGGGGGGTGAAGGTCTCCCGTCCTTGCAAAGTCCTCCCCGTTCGGAAGAGGACGTCATGCTGGATGACCTCGTCCAAGTCCGAAGCCGTGGAATTGGATAAGAACAAAGCTTCCTGGAAAGCAGACATTAAAAGGTTAAAGAGTTCAGAAAAAAAACATCAGATTTGGTGAAGATCTCTGAGGGGGTCTCCTGCTGGAGCAGGGGGTTGGACTAGAAGACCTCCTAAGTCCCTTCCAATCGTAATGGCCTGTGTACTAAAACAGAAGGATAAGAAGTTAATGAAGCCAGAGATCCCAATCTGAGCAGCGTTATTCGTCCCTGTCACTGCAACATCTTGTCTTACGTCTTCAGCCTTTCTGCATTTACAGGTAGTCCTCGATTTATGACGCTTTGTTTACTGACCGTTCGAAGCTGTAACAGCCCTGAAAAAAGCGATTTTCACACTGATGACCGTTGCAGGATCCCCCATGGTGATCAAAATTCTGGTGCTTGGCAACTGTTTCACATTTACGATGGCCACAGTGTCCCGGGATCACGTGATCCCCTTTGGCGATCTTCTGAATAACAAAGTCAATGGTGGAAGCCAGATTCAATGAACAACCGGGTCACTAACTGAACAACTGCCGTGATTTGTGGCTGGAAAGGTCGTAAAATAGGGCACAATTCATTTAACAGCTTTCTTGCTTAGTGACATAAATGTTGGGTCATACGCCGAGGACTACCTGTACGTCATTGCACCCAAGCTTAGAATGTTGGGAAGGAGACATTTGGGCGATCCCTTGCAAAAAATCCACCAGGATCTGCAAAAAAAGGGACAGAAAGGCAGAAGCAATCCTTTGCAGCAGCCCTAATTATCCTGGCCCAGCCCATTGTGGACTACCTTGCAGGGCTCTTATGAGGATAAAAGCATGGTGGGCTGGGAGGGGAAAAAGCCATGCATGCCACTTCAAACTGGTGGAAGATACACTGTAATGCACGCGTGCAAATGTACATGTGCAAATATGCACGCACGTGTGCGAGCGCGCATGCGTGTAAACATTGGCAACTCGCACATTTTGCTGACAGCTTCACTGGCGAGCTTGGCTAACGCGGGCATGCGTAAGCCACGCCCACTTTGAGCTGCGGGCCAATCGCGCGCGTCTTTAGGAATGACGGCTTCAACACTTTTTAAAAAAAACGAGGCTCTGTCGGCGCATGCGCGCTCGGTCCCTCGGCTTACCTGAAGGCCCCACCAGTGAGCGCCCACGCTGCTCGCGTAGTGGCCGAGTTGAAGCGTCACCACCTCGCGGACCCCCGACATTTCCTCCCCCGCTGTCGTTTCGGGCTCCCGCTACGAAGGGGGCGACATAGGCCGTTGAAGACGGGGGGGAAAGAAGGGTTTAAAAAAGAAAAAAATTACTCGGTCTGCGCAGGCGCGAATGGTAAGCCCGTCCGTCGCGCGCGACTGAAGGGGAGGGGAAAGGCAACGCGGTCTTTTCATTGGCTCTCACCGGCCACCAGTCAGTAGGAGCCGCCCACGGCCTCCATCCTTGTAGCGCCCCTCAGTATAGACCGCAATCTCATTGGTTAAATGGGTAGGAATGGGGAGGGACTGAAGAGTCACTTCCGGTGAGGACCAGCCCTGTCTCCCCGTCCGCTTTCATCCTTGTGAATGCTGAACCGCTCTGCCCGTTATTTTCTCTATGATAGTCTCAAGGAATTAATAGGGCGAATTGGGTAACAACAGATTTGAATGGATTTTTTTTTTTCCATGCAGCATATTGTAAATTGAATAATGGAAGTTTATTCCATTATTTGCTTGTAAATCTGCCTGGAATACACGTTGTTGAACTCTCAGCAAGCCTGCAATGTAAAACAACCAACCTAGAGGAAGAAATAACAACAACAATAATAATAAGAGTTGAAAGGGACCTTGGAGGTCATCTAGTCCAACCCCCTGCTCAAGCAGGAAACCCTAGATCCTTTCAGACCAATGGCTGTCCAGTCTCTTCTTGAAAACTTCCAGTGTTGGAGCATTCACAGCTTCTGGAGGCATAGCAGGATAAATAGCAGGAGGGAAAAGGAAAACTCAAGACTCCATTACTAAATATGAGGTATAATGAGCAGCTAAATTTTAAATTAAGTAGTCCAAAGCCTGAGAAAGCCATCATCTTCATATCTTCTCATGTAATAAAGTGGAACTGAATTTGTTTTCGCCCAATAGTGAAAAATATCTACCTAACATTTATTTTATTGGTATCTCTGGACTTTACCTAGTTTTAGCTTAACTTCTTTCACTACCAACAAAATCCAATGGGACGAGGAGACAGGAAAAGAATACCATAAAATTAATTATAGAAACAGGATCTACTTAAGAATTGAACTTTGCTTCAAGCACGTCTTCCTAACGCACCGAGTTAAAGTTTGATGGGTTTAATATACGTAGGAGGCAGTGTCTGTAAACAGGTTTGAATTCACTTGATGGGGGGAAAAAAAAGAGCATAATTTTTCTAGGAGCCAACATTCCCGGTTAACATACAAATAGCCCATGCCAAAGAAGCAGCTTTGAAAGCATTTATTACAAGGGAATTTAAGCCGTGATGTCCGTGTGTCGGGAGAGATCCTTGGCTACAAAAAAGCGCTGATTCGCTCAAACAATCCGGGGTTGCATCCAGACAGAAAACGGAGCTCTAATCGACCCTCCTTGGTGCCGGCTATTTCAGCACGGAAAGAATTTCATATACATATAAAAAAAGAACAAAAGGTCAGGTTAGGAACGGGCTCCAGAACACACACACACACACACACAAACAAACAAAAAAAATCGTACAAGCAAACTTTATTTTATTAATTAGGATTATTTTTATCTTGCCTTTATTATTTTTATAAATAATTCAAGATGGGGAACATTTCTAGTACTGCTTCCTCCTATTTTTTTCCAGAAATAATAATAATAATAAAGCTGGAAGGGACCTTGGAGGTCATCTGGTCCCGGTTGAGAGGGAGGGACTGGCTTAAAATTGCCCAGATGGCTTTCATGCATAAGGCAGGACTAGAATTCACCATCTCCTGGGGATTAGCCCAAAGTCACCCAACTGGCTTCCACGTTTAGGGTGGGACTAGAATTCACCGTCGCCTGGTTTTTATCCTGGTGCCTTGACACAGAGATGAACAAATCTCTAACTTTACACTCCTGCCTTTTTAACCAGGCAGGAAACCAAAAGTGAAGCAAACCTGAAAATAGCCAAACTTGCCTTTTTCATGCCCCAGCCACTTGCGTTCCAGATAATACTGATAGCAGCTCTCAAACTCCAGATCTGTGTAGTCGCGAACCTGGATGGGAACGAAAGGCTCCAGGGCGGCAAAACCATCCTGAAGTTTAGAGAAGAACAGGGGGGGAGGGAGGGAGGGGGCGAAATGAAGATGAATTCGACGAGATTAGATAGTGGAGATTCTTTCCGCTGGTCCAAGAACAGGAGGGCAGTTAACCTGAGTGCAAAATCTACTCTCTTCCAGCCCCTCCTTTGGAATAGAACATTCGTAGCTCGGGATTGACGTGTGGGGTCCCTGGGGCTGTCTGAGGCTGGGGGTTTTCTTGCAGATGTTTCATGACCCAGCTAGGTAACATTGGTGCTAGAAGGGAGAGGAGGAGGACGACTGTGGTGTCCTGGATGCTCTCTGAGCTTGGTGGTTTCCTTGCCGACGTTTCACGACCCAACTAGGTAATACCATCAGTGATAGGGGGAATTTTCTGGGAGGAGGAGGAGGATAGGGGGAGGAAGAGAACTGAGGACACCTTGTTGCTCTCTGAGCTGGGTGGTTTTCTTGCAGATGTTTCATGACCCAACCAGGCAACATCATCAGTGCTAGAAGGAGGATTTGTAGAAACCTCATTCCCTTCTACGCTGATGTTTACCTAGTTGGGTCATGAAACATCTCCCAAGAAAACCACCAAGCTCAGACAGCACCAAGGACCCCATGCCGTCCTCCTCCTCCTCCTCCTCCATCCCTCCTCCCTCCTCCCAGCATGGATGATGTTGCCTTGGTAACGAAACACCTGCAAGAAAGCCACCAAGTTTGGACATTCACGAAGACCAGACCGTCCTTCTGAATATTAGCCAAGCCAACGAGGGTGAGGAGAGTTGGACTCCATTAAGAGCTGGTTTCCAACTCGCCCCTCCAACCAGCTGCTGACTCACCCGTCCCAGCAGTTCGTGCGGCAAATAAAAATGTCGGAGCGTGGAGGGTGCTCCTGTTTGACTGAGGGTGGCTACGACGGCCCCTCCTGTCTGGAAAGACACAAGAAACAACACCGTCAGAGCCACAAGTCTATCCACGGTCAGCCTCCTGGAAGCCGTGGCCTCTGCCTCAGCTCCGTATCCGCCTTAAGGGGCTGTCCTCACCCAGTCGTTTGCCACCATCTTCCTGAGGTTGTGTATCAGCGTCAGCTCCTCCACAGAGACCTGAAGAGGAAGAGAGAAAAGAGAAAAATATTACATTTTCAGCAAAGTTGGAAAAAGATCGTTACGTCACCCTCATTAAAGACAACACATTGGGAAGGTTAGAACACTGAATATCAGAGTTGGAAGGGTCCTTGGAGGTCTTCTAGTCCAACCCCCTGTTCAGGCAAGAAACCTTATACCATTTCAGACAAATGGCTGTCCAGTCTCTTTTTAAAGCATTCACCGCTTCTGGAGGCAGGTTGTTCCACTGGTTAATTGTTCTCACTGTCAGGAAATTCCTCCTCAGTTCCAGGTTGCTTCTCTCCTTGATGAGTTCCCATCCGTTGCTTCTTGTCCTGCCTTCAGGCGCTTTGGAGAATAGCTTGACTCCCTCTTCTTTGGGGCACCCCTCTAATACTGGGAGACTGCTATCAGCCTCCCCCCCCCCAGTCCAGTCACTAAACAAATGGTCTTAAGTCTACCTTTATGTGCTAAGCTACACTTGAACCGAACGTCGGGGGCCGAGTCAAGGAGGGAACCTACGTTTTGCTTGTTATGTTTCAACACCGTCTTCCCCCAAAGGGAGTTGATTCCATCCACCGCCACAAGCAGCCGAAAGGATCCTTGGCAGGATTGCTGCTTCAGCTCTTTCAAGATCACCCCGATGGTATCACTGGCGTATTTCACCCAGGCCAAGCCCTGAGGAAGGAAGGTACAAGATGGATGGATGGATGGCTAGAGAGAGAGACACACACACACAGTCAGAGAGATAAAGATAGAAGATGGATGGGTGGGTGGATGGATGGATGAGTGGCTAGAACAGATGCATGGGAAGGGAAGGAAGGAAGGAAGGAAGGAAGGAAGGAAGGAAGGAAGGAAGGAAGGAAAAGAGGAAGGGGAAGGGGAGGGAGAAAACAGTGGGCCATCTTGTCATCCAGGAGAACAACTGGGCTACAAGCTCCGTGGTTTGCAGGATGGTGATTTAATCCTGGCATTTTTTTTTTTAAAGAACTCAAGGTGGCCTCCATAATGTTCCTGCCTCTTATCTTCCCCACAACCAACACCCTGTGGGGCAGGTCAGGCTGAGAGGAAATCACCCAATTGGCTTTCATGCCTATGGCAGGACTAGAATTCACTGTCTCCTGGTGACTGGGCCAAAGTCACCCACTTAGCTTTTGTTTCTAAGGCGGGACTAGAACTCACCATCTCCTGGTGATTGAGCCAAAGTCACCCAACTAGTTTTCTTTCAAGCCTAAAGCAGGACTAGAACTGACCGTCTCCTGGTGATTGGGCCAAAATCACCCAGCCGGCTTTCGTGCCTAAGGCGGGACTAGAACTCATCTCCCAATTTCTAATGCAGCCCTTGAAGCACTACAAGAAACCGTCTCTCTTTTAAAGACGCTAGGGAAATCCGTAAAGCCCCTCAGAGATCTTTAAAGTAAAACAGCCATGAATAAGGACCACCCAGGTTAGCAATAAACTACCCCACAAGCAGTGGACATAATTCAATAGTCATACAGTATAGGAATTCCACCGTTCTTCCACTTTTAATATTAGCCTCACCTTGTCAGTCAAGTCTATCAGAGAACAGCCCTCTTCGGTGACATCACGCTTACCCCATACGTACTTCTGTTGTGTTTTGATCTGCAGTGCAGAGAGACAAGAAAAAAGAAACACTAAATGAAACGGGAAAATCCGACTGTGAAGCACACGAAAAGGACGTGAAAACAACAGATGTCCAGAGATTTATTGCTCCTGACCGTGGAAATTCCATGTAGCTTTCCGAAGAAAAGAACTAAATGAACATTTTTCTAAGTCAAGGGCGACCTGCAATCGAATGTGTCTTTTTCTCTCCCCCTACCCCAAGGTTAAGAGAGATTTTGCCAACCTGGGCTAAAATCTTTTCATTGGTGATCCTGAAATTCTTCAGCCAGTTTGCCGCTTCCATGGGCTGGTCTAACCGCTCGGGATTGTAGGAAGATGGCAGCAATTCTTTACAATTCCTCACCCAGAGATGAACTACGGCAGGAAGAGAAAGAACGACGGTGAGGCAAAGACATATAACAAGCGTCTCGTTCTAACGTCGGACGCCGTCCAGCATCGGCCGAAGGTACCAGCATCCCGTTGAAGCTCTCCGAATAAAATGGCCTTCTTTCGCAGGACGTTTTCCCCTGGATTTCCTGAGCATTCTGCTCTCAAGAATGCTGCCCAAACTTTTTTAAAAAAACAACAATTTAGAATACCCAAATACACACAGAATTGAATTTAGCTATTGCTCTTACCGTTTGGAATGTGAACGATGACCCAGTTCTGCCTTGCACAATAATGGACAGCGTGGCAGAGAACCATGGTCTTTCCTGTGCTCTTCTCTCCATCTTCAAGACTGTTTAAGGAAGAAGCCACACCTGCATGCATGTACAGGTATTCCTTGAGTTTATGTCTGTTCATTTTGTCGACCGTTCCAAGTTACGACGGCACTGAGAATCTGACTGCGGGATGCTGCAAAGGGCTGCAAAAGCTAGCCCAGGTACCCAGTGTCCAAAACTGCAGCCGTGTGACTGGGGTTGTCGATGCGAGCAGCCAAAGAGGTCATAAATAGCTCTGGGGACATCCTCTGCCACTTTGAATGGCCACTAAGCGAGGACTACCTGTATAGGATCACAGCTCTTTCAAAGGAGAAGGGATCCTGCAAACCGCTGCGTCTAACCCTGTTTTTATTCTGTTATCCTGCAACGACGTCATCACGAGGGCCAGAAACTTGCCTGGTCTCACTCGGCGA